GATTGGACTTCTCGTTTTTAACTCTACATTTTATTAATTAAAACAAAATCTTTTGACATGAAAATCTCACCTAAACCAGCTCTGTATTACAAGGAATATTTCCTTTCAGAAGGATTTGATATAATGGGCGTCCCAAAAAAGAATTTTTTGGCTAGAGCTGTGATAAAAATAATTAGTATAGCAGTGGGGGACTTTACTAGCTCTCCTGTTTATATCAAATAGCAAGTTATGGTGATTTTCGTGTGATCTCTTTTTTTTAATTACTATATTTAAATGTGATTTATTTGGTACTATCACAACTAAATTACCTATAATATCACGTCATAAAATGAGGGTTCTTCATGTCTTGATTTTTTTAACCGTTCCTTTCTTGTTTAAGTGTGGTGAAACCAGCGTACGTTAGCCAAGAGTAACAAAAACTCTCTTTGTTGTGCAGGGGGTCACATTAACCCAGCAGTGACATTTGGACTTTTCCTAGCCAGGAAGGTCTCTTTGATCCGGGCTGTGATGTACATGGTGGCTCAATGCTTAGGAGCCATATGTGGCGTTGGGCTTGTTAAGGCCTTCCAAAAGTCTTACTACAAGAGGTATGGTGGTGGAGCCAACACTTTGGCCGATGGGTTCAGCACCGGCACTGGATTGGGTGCTGAGATCATTGGCACTTTTGTCCTGGTCTACACTGTTTTCTCTGCTACAGATCCAAAGAGGAGTGCGAGGGACTCCCATGTGCCTGTATGTGCCCTTAACACTCTCATGTCCGTTTGTTTTGTTTCTTTCCATTTAGTTTTCTTGATGGCTTGCCATAGCATAGACGACGTAGGGCTATAATTGTTGAATGTTACTCATTTTACTCAACTGGTGTGGTCACCGTCCATAAATAAGTGGTTAAGAACTTAATATATGCTTATAGTGGCTTAGGATTAGCCCACCTATACTCATTTATCGAGCCTTTTGGTTTGGATTCCTGAGGTATTAATGACTAAACTGTATTTCAAGTCCTTTTTTTGATGTGTGATTCCAACTTCTTTTGCTTAGTAGGAAAGTAGTTCCCAAATGTTTTAGGACATTTTGACAATCCTTTAGACATGAAGAAAGAACGTGGTTTAACTTCCATCGCAGATGAAATGTTTAGCTATTTTATAGATAGTGGGATTAGATCATTTCCACTGGCATGAGTCTCTTGACTTTAGCAAGTAGGTTGTGGTATTAGGACCATTATTGCATCTCTTAATTTCTAACCCAAATGAGAAGTCATTGCATGCGCCAACAACTTGAAAGTAACTGATTATTGATTCTTGCACTTGTTAGGTGCCATCAAAGTTATTTCATACAGTGTACGATTCACCATTTCCTGTCTTCTTTTTCTGCTCTGTCTTGATGTAGATTTCGGTTTTTTCAATGTCTGATAAGTGTCTTTTTCCCTGACTAGGAACAGTTTCTAGCTAACTTCATTTCAACAACCAGGGTCCTGGTCCTCCTTTATTTCACACAATTTTGTATTTTTAGAGCATTAAAATAAATTAAAATATTTTTATTATTTTTAAATTATGTTTTAATACATTTTTAAAAAAATATTTCAAAAAATAATCACTTCCTTACTAACCATGACTCTTAGTACGTGAACAATGCCCTTTTGCATTATTGTATACAGCTAAAGCAAAAAGGACTTTAGTTCATTTGCTCGACGTCATGTGGCCTTTTAGCCCTATTGGGAATTTGGGTGACAGCCTGTTACGTTTTATGTGATCCAAGATCGGTAATGTATTAATTTTGCTTTTTTTAAGTTGAGATGAAATGATCTTTTTTTTATACTTCCAAAAAGATTTGTATGCTTCACATGTTCATGTATGGTGCCATTTATTTATTCATTGTAGTCTGCACCTTTTTCTTTTAATTTTTCATCGAGAAGGCTTGTATGCTGTCCTATGATTCACAATCATTGATCAGATTTATGTTTTATCAATTCTTAATTAAAGGTTTTGGCTCCTCTTCCAATTGGATTTGCTGTGTTCATGGTTCACTTGGCCACCATCCCCATCACTGGAACTGGCATCAACCCTGCTAGGAGTCTGGGAGCCGCTGTTATCTACAACCAAGACAAGGCCTGGGATGACCATGTAAGCATCCACTAGATGCTACCACAAATTAAAAAAAATATTTAATTAACGAAGTTTATTTACTTTGTAAAGGGCACTTAATTATCTTGTTAATTTTTTCTTGCAGTGGATCTTCTGGGTTGGACCCTTCGCTGGTGCAGCCATTGCAGCTTTCTACCACCAATTCATCTTGAGAGCAGGAGCTGTCAAGGCTCTTGGATCATTCAGGAGCGCCCAACGGTTTTAAATCTCGGGTTCTTTTCAACTTGAATAACGAAGAAGTGCTTGCTCCAGCTAGCGCGTGCATGGTGGTTTCCCTTTATTATCCCTTTCGGTTTTCTTTTGTGGGGGTGTGGAAAATGTGAGAGGGTCTGGGAATCATGGAATTTGTAGATAAAGTCTCTTTGAGAAGGGGAGGCTTTTATTATCCCTTGTCATTTTCAGGCGGTTGCCTTAGAATTCACTTCAATGTTATGTTCTCTCTTTCTTTGCACCTATTGTGCTTCTAAGTAAAGCCTGGTCTCCCTTTTCTTTGTGCTTCTAAGTAAAGCCTGGTCTCCCTTTCTCCTTTGCTTGTTATTATCACATCACTTTTAGCTGCATGCACCACTCCTTTGCTTGTTATTATGACATCACTTTTAGCTGCATGCGCCACTACTCTTGGCATTGCAAATTTAGAAATAGATATGTTTTTCTAATCACTTAATCAGAAGCTCCCAATTGGGTCCAAACCCAACTAGCTAAAAGATATAATGAAAGATTAGACGATAACCACTACATATCTTGTCTGCAATAAATAAATAGCAAGCTTGGCACAAATCTCCCGATTCATTTGCGAACATTGCTTCACAGAGCATTGAAGAAGGGGTTCTTCTAAGCATGTGATTGCCACCGTATAACTGCGTATCTTTTCAGTCATCTGTGATCGCTATTTACGTTAAAGGATATTTCACAGAAAAGTTCTGATTTTATTCAAAACAGATAAATTAAACAATGTTTATACACAGTGATTCTATAGTAGCTGAGCTGCAAAAGTAGACCTTCTCATTTAATATACGTTGAAAAATGAAGGTGACTCGAACGTTCACAGTTGATGGCTCTGAAAGGATCATACTTTTCAAACCTCTCTTGGCAGCGATGAAGCATAGCTGGTTCTGCTAGCTTGTGACAAATGAAGAAGGAAAAGGAAAAAAAAAAAAATGGCAAAAATATGCTAATGATGTGAAGCTCGAACCTTTTGAAACAGGGAAGGCTTGGAATCATGGGTTTCCGGGGTTCAAAAGCGAGGCCCAGATTCTGTTAGATTAATATTTGCCTTTCTCTAGGCTAAATTAGACTTAAAGCCCATTTACTCACAATGCAAGTGATTTCTTATTTTTCATGGCCGACTGCACCCAGTTTTACTCACATTAGGTTTTCGGGGTTCAAAACCGAGGCCCAGATTCACGAACTTAAACCTTATTTTACTAGAAGCCACGCTTTCACAAGCTTAAAGCCTGCTTAAGTCGGTGTGTAATGGCAATGTTTCTAAATGTATTTATCATAGGAGGATGATCAGTTTTAGTCTATGACCATGTCGTACTATTGTCAATGCCCTGCCTGATGATCGGCAACGGCACCAATCAATGAAGGGCATTCATTATCTTTAATTATGGATGATCATGACATGGTCAAAAGTTAAACTGTAATCGTCAAACAAAAATGCTCTGGTGCTTTAGCAAGTTTTGACAGCTCCATGACCTACTTTTTGACTGTTCTTCAATACCCAAATAAAAATTGAACAAGATATGATTACTTCAAAAGTCTCTAAACCCCCCCAGTTTGATTATGGTTGAGTTAGTGCTCCTTGCCACACACGAATCCTTTCTAAGATGGCCATTTCAAAGCAATGACGCTCAACTTCTTAGACGACTGTATAACATGCATGATGAATCTAGGCTTTATAAAAGGAGTTGCTTCTAAGTCAAATTTTCTTGAGCGATTTGACAACAGAGTGAAAGCAAGTGCTTGCTTCTTTATTGCATGCCTGTTTCTCTTTCTTTTCGTGACATAATGTCACTTGGGTCCAAATCACCCACTGTCCCACTATTTCTTTGGCTGCAATACTTTGGAAAAGCCTTGACATGCATAGAAGATCATGATTTTTCCCAACACGAGACAAGACAATTGATTCACACTCGTCATTTCTTTTTCATGCATATAGTTTTGGATTATCAGACTCAATAGCCGTTACGGCTTTCTTTATGCCTGTTTGAAATCCAAAAACAAAGCAACGAATCACGATTATAAAAAGACCAGCAAGCTCCAATACGAAGCTTCCTGCGTAGCAAGCTCAAAACCATGGCACCTATCACCACCCTCTTCTTCTACCTCTGTTCTTGGTTTCATGATCTCTCCACCCCTCGAGTATTACCACTCCACACTTTGCATTTTCAGGACCCCCATGTGTTCCCAGCACTGGGATATGATCACATGGTCCAGGATTTTTCAACCTCCTTGTTGATCTGATCAGTCTATGAAGCTTTCATGTCTTCCGCCAAAATTTGTGTCAGATAAACATAAACAAAGGCTGCCGCTGAAGCAAAGCTAACCTGCAGGTCTTGTTTTTGGGCCGAGTCTCGTTGTAAATTTGGGGCAAATATTACTTTTTTCTTGATCTCCGTCTTCATAATTTCTCTGTATTTTCGTCTTCTCTTCATTTATATCTCGTATTTCATTGTTGTGATATTTGCAAGCACATCATAGTCTATTGTAGTTTTAAAGTTTTTAGTTATCAATGACCTAATCTAGAGTTTTATGTGATGTAATGTATGGTGACTAGTTGTTTTAATTAAGTCAGCTGGATGTAAAATCTGATTACTCGGGTTTTCCTATTCAATTGCTTTTTTTTTTTTTTTTTTTTTTGGGGGGGGGGGGTGGTGTTGTTATATTCCTCTAGTGGTTACTTTGCAATCACTGTAAAATGCTCACACCTCTCTTGCATGCAGTTTATTAGTTCTCAACATGTAATAACATTGAAGTCCTAACACCAAAAATCAGGATCCCATTTTATCCTATCACTGTCATGTATCAAATTTCTAACCAAATGGCTACCCTATGTCATACTAGATTGGCAATTTATGACACAAGAAATGGAGACTCTCTATCTCGCATAAATTCATTTTGGTAGAGATCAAGGATGACACTTGCATTAAATTATCTAAGACTCAATGTTTGATTGGTTACCATGTTTAAGCAAATGCATATTAAATCCCTTCATAATCCAATGGTTTTGTCTGTTATTTTGGTAAATCAAGTGATTTCAAGGTAGCAAGAAACTGACACTGATACAAGTACACTTCCATTAATGCACTAAGATATCACACATATATATCAGGCTTTCATGAGGATTATGAAATGACATCCGAACAGGAGCATTCAACAAATCTTTTGAAGCTTTCAGATGGCAATGAGAGGCGGTTGAGCAGGGAAGGAATAGAAATCATCAAGGATGACTTATCTGTTGGCAAAACAAAGGGTGCCTTCAGCACTGATGATTCTCTGAGCCATTTGATCCTCAAGAAAAGTTTAGCAACCTTCCAGCCATGGTATAAAACTTCCTTTGCAGTATAAATGTAGCCATCTGGTAACTATGAAGTTCAAACATTTGAAAGGAAAAGGAAAGCAGAGTAAGAAGTTAGAAGATATTAAAATGTGAGATTAAAAATAGATACGTAAGGAGTGTTCATGTGCAAAATCAGTTAAAGCGATGGTTGATATTAGTATCAATGGATACATATGACCATTCACATTGGAATGCATATTCGCTAAGGCAGCAGGCGTCACATCGAACTGCAGCTTTTTTTTTTTTTGGGATAATGATATTGCATAAAATACTTGATGATTAAACAACACAACTGACCTCCCATCTCTCAATGTGTGCCTCTGTTTGAGTGTCTGTCCAGAGAAGACTCGCCACCAAATCTTCATACCACAGTTGACAAGCTGCCGTTAAGGGGAAAAAAAGCATTAATATACAAGCATACCACCTAATTAGACATGGCATAGCCACATGGTTTAACCATGTAAAACCATTAACTCAGTTGTTTATGTGATATAATGACAACAAAATGATCATGTTGGGACTGAAAATATTCAAAACATTGCACCAGTTAGCATGAGAGGAAGGATAGGAATCAGGTTGAGTTTGCTACCTGCTGTTAACAACCCAAGTTTCTCTAATCTGGCTCCACTCAAACTACTTAACCTTGTTCCTAGCTTTTGGGCCAAATTTCGTAGTTCTTCTATTTAATAGGGAAAAAGAAGAAGAAGAAGAAGATTCTGGAGTGAAGAAGATGCAATACACCTGCAAGCCAGTCATTATTTGTTTAATATCAGATACATTTGACTTTTCTCATAACTGCAAGTGAAAAATCAAGGGAAAAGACACTTACACAAGTTAACTAGTCAAACTGTAGCGAAATGCCTCGGCTCATCAAGTCCAATTGCATCAATTTTGAAGGTGCCCATTAATTTCGCGCATCAGTAAGTGAGAGCTATCAACAGCATGTTTACTTTCATAAACTATATATCTATACAATTCATGCCTAGGCGCAGGCTTCAATGATCCTAATTCCTTCAGGGGATCTGTTATCACATTTTTACTGCACAACTCCTTTGCTGGTAGGACATGGTTAAACCAGAAATCAGAAAGTGCTATTTTCAAAGCATCCCAGTATGCCTCATCTCGGTATAACCTGAATAGACTGCTTCCATTAGGAGTCCAAACATATAAATCCATCCAATCCTTGTCCAGTATTTCCATTAAACCTTGAGCTTGTGGAATACAATAAAGGGGGATCCGCTTCCAAGGTGAAGCCCTTTTCATATCTCCATTAAAAAATGGACACTTTATTTCTAACACTCCTCTGGAATTCAACCCATAATACTTGTCAATTATCCCATCAGGTGAAGCTGCAAGCCAGTCATCTTTTAAGTTGTTCTTACCATAGACCTGAAATCTGGGAAACAAAATTGTATTTCCTGTAATCAACTTATATCTTTCAAGCGCTTCCTCTTCTTTGGCATTGGTCCAACAGATAGCCACGTTACCATAAAATGGTTCTTTTGCACCAAGTTTCTCTAACCAGAGCTGGACTCGCCTACCACGCCAAAAACCAATAGCCCCACTGAAAGTGCTTGCCGTCAGTTTACGCTTTCTTTGATCTTGCCATTTTTTGAACCTGTGCTGAAGACTACTGGATTGGAGAATCGATGTATAAGGGCTGCTTGAATCTCTGGTACAGGAATGATTATAGATTTGAGAATTTACAGGTTGCTCTTCACCTAATGGATTCAATAAAACCTGGCTTGAGTAGTTTCTTCTGTTGCCAATATCAACTTTAAAAGGGCCTATATCACAATTATATTTGCTGTTGTAATATGAAAGTCGGAAATTGATGAGGAAACAAGATACAAATTCTTCACTGCCAAAGAAAAGCAAATGACAGTAAGACCAAAGAAGGGGACGAAATTACTAGGCAGACAATCAAAATTACAAGATAATCATATCTTCTAGTTAGACCTCCATGTAAACATAAGAAATTAGTTTTATCAAATCATGCTACTCAACAAAATACTATGCAATTATCAAACTTCAGGATCAGACCCTGTCCAAATTATCTAAAACTGCTTCACATAAATGGCACAGGTGCAAGATTTCCTCCAAGATATAAAGGCACAGAAGCCTTCATTGGAAAAAAGCGAATCACTTTGGTATTTGTCTCAAAAATAAATGAACCGAGGTAACTGATGAAGTAACCCAAAACTCTTCTGGCCCTTTCATGTTCACAAATTTGTTCAAATTAAACTAAAACAGTTTGGCAACTTTAGACTTCTGTATAATCATTAAGAAATAGGAAAAATAAACTCACGCACTACACCATTAAAAGCCGCAACTCACCCAACAAATATGTCAGTTACACAATTAAATCACCAACTTGTAGCCAAACCCAAATATGTAAAATCATCAAAAAGCACGATATGTATGGAAATAAGCTGTGACTGACCGGGCAAGTTTGCGAAGAGGACTCGGCAGCATAGAGACACCAAATGGGCTTTGTTGAGGAGCATAAGCAGTTTCTGGGTGTCTGTAACAGAAGATGTAGTCTGGCTTGTTTAATCTCTTAGAATGGAGAGGGGGGGGTGGAGGGGGTTTTAGAGTTGAGGCTTAGGAGGCAGACAGGCTTTTCTGTATTTGTGTGTGGGTTTAACTAACCTCAAATCTGAACTAGATTTCTCCATCCTCTAACTCAAAGTGGCCCACTTTGTTACCAAATTACAGGTTTCCACGCCTAGTGCATTAAAAACAAGAAAAACGCAAACGATCCAAGGTAAAAGACCCGAAAATAAAGGGTAAACAGTAAAAAGTAATCAAACCTTAAGATAACTAATCAGCTAAAGAAATTGTCAATGTGTCAGTGCTGTGAGTCAAACTAAAAAAAACCTTTCTTTATAGAACCCAATCAAAGAAAGAAAGAAACAAGCCTGAGCAATTTCTTCTACTTTGTTGGGGCCTTTCAAAGAATATCAAAGAAAGATGCATCTATGGCCAACGATGAGAATAAGGGACTCCTTCAAGATTGCTTACTTGAAAAAACTTGAATGGAATCTTCATAGAATGAACATTGAAAAGAAGCAGAAGTCTCAAGAAAGTAGCGACAGCAACCTGCAAAGACTCTTGGATGATGGTGATGATAACAGTACTAACCAACAACAACCAGCAAAAACTTCTAAAGCTGTTTTGATTTGCAGAGAGATTATAATGCTCGTCACTTGTTGCTACTGTTGTTTCTGTTGTGGAGGTAAAAACTTGATCTTTTGCCCTTTATAGTAATTTTTTTTTGTGTTTGTTTTTTGGGGCTTGTGTTTGGATTGGTGTTTGTAATCTGTGATTTTGATTTGTGGGGTTTTGGTTTGTGGTTTTGATACGATAATCAATTTATTATTTCTGTGAATTCTGTTGGAACTTAAGTCTGAGGATATGAGTGATTCTTTGATATACTCTATTTGCGATGATACGAATAATTTTATTACTCTGCGGTGTAGAGCCACTTATTGAGTTCTTTGAAGTGAGTTAGTGTGTTTAGATTTAGTACTAGACTCTTGCATGGTTGTTTAACTTTTTTCCTAGCTGTAAGAATAAGATTACGAAAGCACAAAGCCAGAGATGGTTCGAGGGTTTGTATTGTATGAGCATTTGAATTGATTGTGACGGCCTGTTAGTATATGGGGTTTTCTTTTGAATCTTGAAATGATTGGCATAACCCACTTCGACCTGACTGTTTGACTGGATGGGATTTAGAATAGTTCAGGGCTTTGACAATATGGTTGGGTTATGAGATGTTGAGTGACAGATTTTTCATTTAGGAAATCTTTTCAGGAAGCTTAGAGAAATAAAAAATGAAGATTTTCCAAGAATTATTGAGAACTGTGGTGTTATTATTGGCTGATGTATGAAGCCAGGAAGATCAATCATCTGTGGCCACTCTATTTTTTGGGTGAAGATTCCTCAAGAATTAACTGAGAACTGTGGCATTATTATCGGGTATGTATGAAGATGGAGAAGATCAATCACTTGTGGTTACTCTTTTTTTGGACTAGTGTACTTTGTGAGCTGATCTACAAAGCAGCAGGAGTCATTTGGCTTGTACTACTCTGGGACATGAGTTCAATGCCCAGAGGAGTGGAGGTTTTTGTACGAGAATGAATGAGCTAGGGGGGTGTTTCTAATTAGCTAAACGTTTGTTTCTGATAAAACCACCATGGGTTTTTGAAGGACAGGAGTATTCCTTACCCTTTATGATAAATGATTGGATAAGGACTTGAATCAACAGCATAAGGGGAAAACTCTTGCAAGTGGAAATGATGCTGTAGAGTTCATTGGCTCATCACTTTTTGTAGTTGGCACCCTGTTGGCCTTTAAATAGATTTCTGCCAGATTTGTTTCAGTTTGACAATCCCTAGTACCTTACTGAGATCATTCATTTTGGTAGTTTTAAGGTGGTTTTTGTGGTCTAAGTTGTGGATAAACAATGAAATATGGTGGAGTGACTGTGAAGAACTACATGGAAAGCATGTGTTTTGAGATTTATGATCCAGTAGATATTTCATATGGGCGATAAAGAAATGAATAACTATTACTCACCCCTCCCAACTTTTCTGGACTGTTAATTTCTTAAACTTTTTCGTCCTGTTAAATTTTTGATCAACCTGCCTAGGTCATTGCTTGTATTTGGGACGATTCCTGTTACTTCCCTTGAAATGATTGGATTCTGCTTCATCCGGTAAACTGAAAACTGAGGGTTCTAAATTCATTATTTTCTACAAGGATTATACAAAAAGACAGTGACTGCACTAGTTATATGATTACAAAAGAGTAGCATTTGACATGAATATTTTCTCTTTCAGCTTGTGTCGATCAAGACAAGGAATGATGGTGTTTCGGAAGGGATTAAGCCACTGAATCTGCTCCTTAGAGATAATATTTCAGAAGGTGGAACAGGGATTGTACAGTTTTCTTACTAGTGTATATTGCTAGAGGGTTACTGACTTCTATGCTCAATAGGAAAATGATGTGATTTGTGATCAAATCTTATGGCATGCCTTTGAGAGAGTGGAATATGCTCAATGTTTCAATCCATCTTCAGATAATGCTGTTTGCAAGGGTGGAGTGTCCCTGTTAGCAAAGGGGAAACATTTGTTAGCATTATCCTCTTATGCAAGGAACAAAGGGAGTTCTGTCCCGGAACATCTGTGCAATCAACAAGGCCTCGCCTCCTCACCCTCCTCTCCTTTCATTGAATAAAGCAATTATTAAGATAGTTTTCTTTGGATGAGCAGACGAAGAGACATGCTTCGATGAGCTTGAAGTTGATAATAGCAGAACGAAAGAACTCTTATTTGATAAAGAGATGGAAACCTGGAATGATTAGGTGGTTTGCAGTGTTTTTTTTCAAGGCAGTAGCATAAGTTCTTCTAAAATTAATAAAATAAATTTTAACTCGATTTTATATATAAAAAATGAATTTAAATAAAAGAATTGGCATCCATCACTCAACAACACATAATAAATTGCTATATATATATATATATATATAAACAAAGGAGAGACATTTTATGGTCAACTTGTCTTGTCTGGATATTTTTTTCCTTTTTTGATTTTTTAGAATAATCATCTTGGCTTGGTAGTTGTTAGCCGGCACGATAAGCATTTTAACCCGAACACAAGCGGGATTTCTTTGGGAGAAATTTGGGGCACATTTTCTTGGACTAGTCATTTACTTAAAAAATAAATAAAATAAAACTTATGGTGGATGGTGCCACGTCTTTCGGGGGCCCCACGGTAGGGTGTACTTGGGCTTATGACACCCCCCAAAGCCTTAAAGTCTTGTGTTTTGGTTCTTGAATTTTAAGATTTATCAAAATTGTTTTGCATTTTATCTCAAAAACAATCTGATTCCGGTCTTTATTCAATTTCCTATTTTCATGTTTGTCCTTGGAGTCTTTATTATGACTCCCCGTTTAAATTCTCTCTCTTAATTATTGTGATTTTTTTTTTCAAAACAATCTTTTTGATATCAATTTAATCTTGCAAATCTCTTAAACTCTAAGTCAAATCTTTATATCCATAATCGATGATAGATTCCATCTATATTGTAGTTTCTTGTTTTAGAAAACGATATTTTGCAAAGAACTTGCTAAGGGATTTTAACAGAAAAGCATCGAAGACCAAGAAATTGAAATTGTTGTCATAAACAATTGTTGATGGTAAAATTGGATATTTTTAAGGTTAAATCTGGCGAATCCCAACACCCCCGGGCCAGTAAAATAAATACCCTCCCAAGCTCCCAACAAAATCCAAATCCACACGTTCTACCATCCCTTCTCTTTCTTTCTTCACATTCCCGCCGCTTGCGCCACCCTCACTTCTAACAAACCCAACAGAAAAATGGTGGTGCAGCACCCAGTGGCAGAAGCTAACGAGCAAAGCCCGTTTGGAACCCTTTCCCCCACTGAATTCTACGCCAAACACCATGTCACCCACTCTTCTGAATACATAACCAACTCCCGGGGCTTCAAGCTCTTCACTCAACGGTGGACCCCACTTCCTCCGACCAAACCAATTGGCTGCGTAGCCGTTGTCCATGGCTTCACCGGTGAATCCAGCTGGTTCATCCAGCTAACCTCTATTCTCTTTGCTAAAAACGGGTTCTCTGTCTGTGCTATTGATCACCAAGGCCATGGCTTCTCTGATGGGCTTGACAACTTGATGTATCATATCCCAGATATCAACCCTGTTGTGGAAGACTGCATGCAGTATTTTAAGACGTTCCGTGAGAATCACGCGCCAGATCTGCCGGCTTTTTTGTACTCGGAATCGCTGGGCGGGGCAATAGCCCTGTACATTACGCTACGCCAGAAAGGCGCGTGGGATGGGTTGATTTTGAACGGGGCCATGTGTGGGATTAGTGCCAAGTTCAAGCCACCGTGGCCTTTGGAGCATTTACTGTTTGTAGTGGCAGCGGTGGTGCCCACTTGGAGAGTGGTCCCAACGCGTGGATCGTTGCCTGAGGTGTCGTTTAAGGAAGAGTGGAAGGCGAAGTTGGCGTTTGCGAGTCCGAAGAGGGTGGCAATGAGGCCACGCGCGGCTACAGCATTGGAGCTTGTCAGAGTATGCAAGGAACTTCAAGGGAGGTTTGAGGAGGTGGATGTGCCTTTGTTGGTTGTGCATGGTGGTGATGACATGGTGTGTGACCCTGCCTGCGCCAAGGAGTTGTTTGAACGCGCTGCGAGCACGGATAGGACATTGAAGATTTACCCTGGCATGTGGCATCAGTTGGTCGGCGAGCCCGAGGAGAATGTCAATTTGGTGTTTGGGGATATAGTTGAGTGGCTACAAAACCGTGCCAAACGAGGGGGTGCGGCCAACGACGGTGACGCGTGACGTTGCTCTTTGTTAATAGTATAATTTAATATTGTGGTATTCTAGCCAGGTTGTTGGTCATAAATCATAACAAGAAGCAGGCTGTGATCAACCTGCGATGTTACTGAAGTTGGGTGATGAAATTAATAAATAAAAAGAATGAATACATTATGATGGGAAATTATTGCTCTGAAACTTCGATTTTTTTATTTTGTTTTGTTTCTGTGGTTTCCAGTTCTTCATAGATTCGTAACCTAATTTGGGTTGTGTTTAATGTCAACCAGTTGATTCGGTTAAATCTTGTTAATTAAGTGATAGCTTCACATTCCGGTTGAAATGAGTGCATTTTAAAATTATTTGAATTGAGAAAATATTAAATTAATTATTTTTTGTACTTTTTAATAAAAAATATTTAAAAACAAATTTGTAACATAATCAAAGTGCTCTCAAACATTTACTAAGTGGTTTAATTTATAACCTGACTAAAATAGATTCTTTTTAATGTTTTAGTTTTTTTTTTAAAATGACTTATTTTGATTTAAAAAAAAAATAATCTTTTTAATGTTTTAGTTTTTTTTTTAAATGACTTATTTTGATTTTTTTTTTAAAAAATAAAAATAATGTTTTTTTATTAGCACGGTTAAGTTTTATAAATATAGTTTTTTTTTAAAAAAAATTTTATGAATCAAAATAAATATATACTGTTTCAGATTTTGATTGGATTGTGTAACCGGAAACTGATTTAGGTTTGTGGTGTTTCCTGTTTGCATTCATGCAAGGCACTATGATTTGGATGAAATACACCAACATCAGCCCTTTTTAGTTTGTTGTAGTTGGTTGGCTATCTTAGGCTAATCATTTTGCAAATAATACAGAAGAAATAATTGGACCAGGCAAACCAACCTATCCTTCCTTACCGAGCTGCTTTGAGTGACAAGTGGGGAGGAGCAGGAGGAATAGATCGATGAGCTGCTTTGAGTGACAAGTGGGGAGGAGGAGGAGGAGGAATAGATCGACGTGGACCATGTAAGATCACGGAAATTCAGTTGGATCATCCACTTTTTAGGGCAAAAAAGTGAGAGAGACAGAAGGAGGATATTCCTTTCGCTCATTTTAGAGTTTGGCATCTCTCTTGGCTCATTGCTTGCAACTCGAAAAATGGATGAGGTATTCAGTAGGATGGGTGGTAAGGTTAAATCCTCCATAACAGATTCCGCTATCATGTCCATGCTGCACTCTAGAATGGATAAGGCACATGAAAGAGTCCACTCCAAGGAAGGAGTTATTGCACGTTTACATGAGATATCAAAGTTCTACGAGTTGGCAGTGATGCAGCTCGAAGGGTGTCTGAAGTTTGTTATTGAAGAAGCTGACAGCAGTCTTGAAAGCAGTGATGAAGAGGCTTTAGGGGACTTGGCAGAAATTAGAGACCGTCTTGAAGGTCGGCTTAGAGAAACTGAGCTGGCCATCGCAGAAAAGGATAGAGAGTTAACGGAGAGGTTAGAAAATGAAATGAAGCTCAGGCATGAATTGGAACTCAAAGAAAGAGAATTGGAATCTTTACGAGCCACTCTGGAGCTTGAGAGAACAAAGACCGATGGCATTGAGGAGCAGGTTCTTGGCAATCTGGTAAGTGGTGATGGGAATAGAGATGAAGGATTTTCTGAGCTGAAGGATTCAGTAGATGAACAGGTGTGGAATATCAAACAACAACTTGACCCTGAAGATGAAAATATTGATAAGAGAAGATATCATGGTTTTGAAAGCTTGAGGGTTGAGCAGATGAGCTCAGACATGGACATCTTAAAAGAAACCATGGGTCTTGCTTTTGAAAAGATGCAGAATGCCATTTTCTTGTCGGAGTTGGAGCCGACTGAGCAACAGTTAGGGTGGACAATTGAGAAAGCTGTACTAGTTATCTTGATCAATGGTTTCATGGGGGATATCCAGGAGAATTTCACAGCAGAAGTTAGGAGGTGGCAGAAGCAAGTTTCCATAGGCTTGAGCAAGCATTTGGCGGATTTGATGAAACAGATAACATGCTTGCAAGACGAACTAGAGCCTCTTAGCATCTCCCACAGCAGTCGTGAGAGAAGGATTTCTATGAAAATGAAAGGGAAGTCTTCATCAGAAGGGGACATTTCTTATACCCCTGACGATTTCACTGTTAGAGTTGGAGAAATAGACCAGATGAAGCAGCTGAACGTAGAGGATTCTGAAGAAGACAGCGCGCACCACGTTGCTAAGATGATAAAGAGTCATGAAACGATCATCAGGATAAAAAGTGAAGAGCTTAAATCACAGAAACTAGAAATTCTCAAGGAAAAAGGGTGTACATGCTATAGGAGATCAGAAAAGGGCCGTGTTAGTCCAAGACAAAGATTCCAAGACGTTACTGCAAAACTGGGAAATTTACTCGACTGGAGGGAAAACCTTGATGAATCTTTTGGTTACCATGGAGGTGCAGATCACGAGGAAACTTCTTCAACGAAGATGCTGTATCATTTTGATATGAAAGAACAGGCAAACTTTCACGGCACTGATGCTTTGGAGAAGTTGAATAGCATCTCAATTTCTCATGATGCAAATGAGAAACTGCAGAATGTAATAAGAAAGCTGGAAATGGAGAAAGAAGATACAAATTTGCAAAATTTGATAGTAGAAGACAATTACATTACTCTTTTGGAAGGCTTCATACATGAATGCTGCGCTGAGTTACGTAGTTATGACATTGCGATCCTGGTAAGAGAAGGTATATATGAATATATTTTGAAGGAAATTGTCAATGAGTGTGATGAAAAAATGCAAGGTGATAAGATTGAAGATCAGATTACAGAGGAGATGTTTTATCTTGTCTCCAGAGAGGCACTGAAGGATTGTTGCTGTATGCTCGACTCTGTGTTAACTGAGTGCCGGGATGCCAGAGCTGAAAGGAATTGTTTTCAAGAACATACTTTAGAGGGAACAATAAGGGAGGAAATATTGTCAACCTTCTTCACAGAAATTTTCAAGGAATGGAATGAGGCTGATGAACAGTGTGACGGTGAAAGCATAGTAAAGGAAGATATTGATCGGGTTGCCTTTAAAGAGACCATCAGAGACATGGCAAGCACTCGCATGGTAAGCAAATTCAAAGAGTTGAATTATCCTGGGAATAGTGTGGATTGTGTTGCTCAGGGTAATAGTTTTTTTGAGGACGTAGAATATTCAGTGAAGGAGGATGTCTTTATGGTTTTCCTTAAAGAAATGTGTAAGGAATGGAAGGCAGAGATAGATTCCTATGATTGTGAAATCCTCATCAGAGAAGAAATTTTCATATTAATTGTTGTGGAGGCAATGACAGAAACTCGTACCATTTCTGGGGAAACTACAGCCGAGGATCGCTTCAGAATATTGGAAAATTTCACCTCTGCTGACAAGTTACATATAAGTCAAGATATTGGTAAAGAGGAGCATTTGGTTCAAAAACAAGATTCACAGCCAGAGCATATCAAATTCGAATATTTGAAACGCCAAGCAAGTCCAGCAATGAAGGAATACAAAACACCCCTTCCCATTGTGGCACTGAAACATGAAAAACTGAACAAATCTCAGCACACGAGGGAATTGTTGACTGAGATAGATAGCACTTCATTTTCAGTTTGTAGCGAAGTTAAGAAAGCTTTGGAGCACGTAGCTATGAGTAAAGGACTACTGAGAGAGTTAAGATCAAGTTTAGGTGTTGCTGTTGCAGATACAGAAAGATTTGATGAGGAGGTCAAAGTAAACCTATCTAACTCTGATTTTACACCTATCCTGGAATTTTCTCAAGTATTAATGGACTTTAAGCGAATAGTGGAAAAGAAATTAGTGCTGAACATTTTAAGGTACCTCAATTTTCCATTAGCTCTCCCCCCTTCTCTAATGCGTTATTTTCACAAACTCTTATCCTTCTTCACCTATGATATTGCTTGAAATATACCGAGGGAGAATTTATCTAAATTGCGATTACTATCTATATACTGATAGAGATGTACCCGGATTCCTTGCCATTGCTTCTGATCACGCTTGTTTCATTAGCTTTCTTGTGTTTGTTTTCCAACATATAAGGGCATAAATGTTTAGTATGTATGATCTAGTGAATAAGTTATATTCGTTGCTAAGAAAGTTTGCTGTTTCTTACAGGGTGGAGGAAGCAACTCATTATCTGAATCCACTCGTTGAACTTGTTTCCTTGCAAAGGAGAGAGGATTTGCTTTATAAAAAGGCTTTTCTAAGGAGATGTGAGAATCTCAGAAGGGCTGAAACTGAGGTTTTGAGCTCATTATTTGTTCTCTTTTTATCCCAAATGGACTTCATTCTGTGGAAGTTCGCATAAAATTAAAGTTCTTCCTGGAAATGTTACATTGTTTTATTAAGAGGTACATGTCTTTCTCCATATGATTGAATAGGTTGATCTGCTAGGTGATCAAGTGGATGTACTTTTAAGCCTGCTTGACAAGATATACAGGACACTGTATCACTATTCGCCTGCGTTGCAGCAGTTTTCTGAGGTAAGGCATGGTCTATTTTCTTAATCTTCTGTATGATGCAGGCCTGTCATGCCTATCTTGTAATGCAAAAATTCTTTTTCGTACCAAAACATTATACCCTTACATCTGAAAGTTTCCCCTGCTCACTGTCACTCTAATTTCCTGAAGTTTCCCCTGCTCACTGTCACTCTAATTATGCTCTCTAATTTCCTTGACACATCGTTGTTTTGATTGGTACAAGTTTTTCTTCTATATTTTGTGCAGGTCTCGGAAATTTTGAAAATGATCGAGGAAGAATTAATTGGGGCCGCTCGTGCTTCTGGCAAGTGACATCAGGATCTCCATGTCTGTGAAGAAATCTTGTGCCTTGGTATCCCACTAAATCGTTTTATCTAGGAGGTGAATTAATCATCAGAAAATGCTCAAACAAAAGATAATGTTGATATGAAACTAGAGGCAAGAGCGTTTCAGAATTTATTATGAGGAGGCATGCTGACAAATTACAGGCTATCAAAATCACATCCCAAGACCGTATTGGAGATGTATTTATTGAACAGTGAAATCAATTTGCATTCATCAAGATAATAAGAACGCAGGAACCTGTTCAAGTTTCTGATATTTATAGTAGTCCCTTGCTCTTTCACGTGATTCTCCTACTGAAGGTGAAGGTACTTATTGTGGAAAATGTCGTCACTCTTTATAAAGTTGATTGCCTTTAATGATCCGCAGCAAAGTGATTGCATTGTCAGACAAAATGGCTTAAAAAAGTTGTGCATCCTGATTATCGGAGCACGAGATAGACAACGGGCTAAGACCAACTTCTTGCTTTGAATTTTCAGTTCCATAGGACAACAAAATCAACAGTTTTCCTCTGGCCAATACAAGGATCCTTCCCAGTCTGTATGATGTTTTGTGTGTCAGATTATTTCTAAAAAATGTTTACAACAACTACTCTTCTATTTCTCTCCAAATATGAATATGATATGCTGAGAAGTGCAGTCGTTTGCAGGAGAGTTTCTGTAAGATAGGTTTTCATTCAATCAGTTCCGACTTCAAAGACAGTTCTTCGACTTTCATCAGATTCTTATAACTCTAATCCTTATTTGATTCCAAATGCATAGCATGGTTCAAACTGAATTGTAAACAATAATATGTGTGAAATTTGTCATTAAATAGAACGAAGCTCCTCTTGTGAGAGTTATCTTACAGTTATCCTTGAGGTATGGATGTAATTAGTAAAAGTCTGCATTTGCAGGTTTTTGTATGCATCCTGGATCCCATTACATTCATTGCTGAAACAAGTATACTAGGAATGAAAATTCGTACTGTGAACAGGCCGTTGAGATTGGAGCTGCATAACATTTTGACAAATTAGGGGAGCCACAAAATGATACCCTCCATTGAACTCCCAATTCCCCATATAAAAATGAAATGAATAAAAAGAATCTTATAGTCAGAGATAGTCCTTTGATCATACAATGGAGACAATAATTCTTCTTGGCGGTGCTTTGCTTTTCTATAAAATTCTGCAACAGATCTTTTCTTACACGGGTGAAATTGCTTTCTATAGGAACGATTGACTCGGGATAACGTAGCAATAGCAGTCTGCACAAGTTGATGGAAATTAGCAAGCAACCATGCCACATTGTTGTGTCTATCCTCAAAAATAAATTATACGAGGAGCCTATTAGAAACTACCCTCATTTCGAGACAGGATGCTCAGGGACCGTTGCTATATGGACGAGCTTTTAGCTTATGCCAGCCTGCTGATTCATGTATTTTTAAGACATTCCGTGTCACTACACATTTTTTGCAGGTGGGTTCATTGCCGTTTCTGTTTGTGCAAACCATACATTTGTGTTTTCTTTCATGTGGAATTCAATAAAAAGGAAGAATCTTGGTCAAAATGTTGATCAGGCTGACAGAAGGAACAAGGTGATGGCTTCATTAGTAGGTTGATGAAAATGAAGGAAGCTCAAGCTAAATACGATGTCGACAAAGGTGGCAAGAGGAGAGGAAAGATCTTACAGAACAGCTTCACAGGGAAAAATCAGAGGTCCAAGCCCGCTTCCATTTCTCTTCTCTGTTGCGGTAGAGAAGGAGTGATCAGAGGTCCAAGCGTGCTTCCAGCTCTTGATTTACCCCTTCGAGCCCATTTCTTTTCTAACAGCCTCCATGTTTTTCTTCTTTTGTTTTTTGTTTTTTTAAAAAAAACAATCCTTATGAGTCGATGAACAGAGACTAAGGTGAATACAACTGTTTTTTTTTTTTTGAAAATTTTTGAATTTTAATTTTTTTTAAACTCAATTAATATAGACTACAGCATACAAATAAGGTGAGGAAGTGTTTATTATTGCCGTGTAGTTTTGTTTTTTTAGAAAGTTTAAATTTATTTTGCCGTGTAGTTTTTTTTTTTTTTAATTAGAAGGGTTGTGATTCAGTCGTTGTTAGGGACGTTTCTTCTTCCTTTAAATTTGGTTTGAGTTTAAGTGGGAATGGAACTAAAAAGTTCTTCCCTTTATATCTTTATTGAGTTCCTTCTTGTATAGTACACCTGTCAGCAGTGTCTTACCTAATTATTAGATTTGTAGGATATTTAATGGATTGTTAGATTAGTTGTAGTACGTGTAATCTGATCTGAATATCCATATTAAACAGCCCACTGAACATCCTACAAGCCCAATGAATAGGTAAGACAGCGCACTACAACTAATTCCCACGGCCCACTGAACATCCTGCAAGCCCAATGAATAGGTAAGGCACCGCAGGGGTGACAGGCATGCACGATAAGACTCGAACCCAGGTGCGGAGGAAGAGGACAAACATCTCCCACCGTTGGGCTAGAACCTTACTTGTTAGGGACACTCTCCTTTTTTTAAATTTGATTCGAGTCTCAGTGGGAGTGGAACTGAAAGTTTCTTCCCTTCATGTCTTTACTAAGTCCCTTCTTGTACGGTACGTCTGTCATTCTCGCAGTGTCTTACCTGATTACTGAGTTTGTATGATATTCAGTGGGCCGTGGGATTAGTCGTGGTGTGCGTAAGCTGGTCCGGACACCCACATTAATAAAAAAAAATTATTTTTTTATATTTTTAAATTATTTTATATTGAAAATAAAATTTTAAAAATTAAAAAATTAAAAAAAATTACTTTTAACTTACAAATAATGACACAAGTTTCTAGCACCTACCGAAGACATGTGTTAGAAAGAAAATCTCTTGACAGAAAGGAAAAAAATTGTACCGGTTCCTCAGGTAACAGATTTCTTCCTCGTCATGTTTCTAGATTTTCTGCTACTTCTCTGGCAACATCCCTGCATGTATTCTCAGATCACACTGCACCGTTTGCGCTTGGATCTTTTACTCGCCAAATTTTTCTTGATCTCATTTTCTTGAGTTTCTTGAATGGTTAAATCTTGGAAATGGTTTCTTACGTGAAAAATCTTAGTTGTTTTTTTTTTTTTTGGTTCGTCTGCTGGAATTGGTAGGAGTTTGCTTGGTTGCTAGTGTGTCTAGTTTACTCTTTGTAATCGAGACTGAATTCATAGTCATTTGTGTAGATCTTGATTGTTAAGAGTAGGGGATGTGTTGGATCAGTGATATTTTTCGATAAGATGGGAGCTTTTTATCTTTTAATTCAAAGGGTAGTGATTGGTTTCTGGGAATTTTGGATTTTGAGCACTGGTTGCTATCTATAAAGATAAAGATACAATAGGATGGTTAGATTTTGCTTGTACTTATTGATCTTCTTGAGGATTGTGAGCACTGAGTAATTTAGTATGAGTATTTTTTTATATAGAAAGTGGATTGTCTTTTGGCTTTAAAAATAAGCAATTTATAGCAATTTTCTTGTTTTGTAAATGTTCATGGATTTATATATTTTGTTACTCGTCGAGCCTTGTATCTGTATTTGCTTGTTTTTATGCAAATCAAAATCCACTTTGTTACTTGAAGAAGCCAATTGATATTTCTGCAAGGAGCATCAGATGCTAATTTTAGGTGCTCTCATCGTCTTTTTATTTCAGTTCAGCATTGGAGATTTCACGAAGAATGGAAGCCAACAGGGGTCAGAATGGAATTCAACTCTTACTTGCTGCAGAGCAAGAAGCTCAGCATATTGTCAATGCTGCTAGAATTGGTAACCACGTCTTCCCTTCTTTATGCTTTTGACTGTAGAAATACATCTCTTTCTCTTTAAATTACTTGTCATCCCTTTGCTTGTAAATCCTGGTATTTGTGTTCTTTTCACATCCTTGTACAAAGGGCACTAGATAGAATTGGTTAAAAAATTACATTATTTTATGTGTATCTATGATGCTTTTTTCCCAGGTTGTTTGGATGAGACTTACCTAGTCCTTGATTGTATATTATGTCTGTTTGGATGGAGGGACATAGGAAAGATGAGTAGGGGGGAGGAATGGAAATGATGAGGTTCTCGTTTCATTCAAGAAGTAAATACCCAATCAAGGAAGATGAGGATCTACTCCCTTTTCTGGAGTTGTTATATTTTTCAATCCATCCAAAATTAGGAGGAAGGCCTGTCCTTTTTCTTTCTCACCTATCATCCATTCTTGTATCTTTTCTCTCCTTCCAGCTAAACAAGGAGCGGAGAGGTTGGGCTTCTTTTTTCTTCTGTGTTTCCTGTGCTCCTCTGCAACTTAGATCTGCATGGCATGGTTTATAGGAAAATTTAAAATTGGTCTTGCAGCTCAAACGTTGAATTGAAGCTTATGTTATTTGTTTTGGAATGTGATGTAGTAAAGCGTAAATTTCTGTACCCTGGAAGTAACTTTCACACCTTGTTAATTGCATTTATGATGTAATCAATCACTGCATTGGTGCAGATCTTGATTCTTACACGCATCTGTTTCTTTTTGTCCAGAAAAAATGGCTAGACTGAAACAAGCCAAAGAAGAGGCTGACAAGGAGATTGCTGAATTTCGTGCTCAAATGGAAGCTGAATTTCAGAGGAAGCTTGCTGAGGTAAGAACACAAAAAGGAAAAATTCCTGTTAATTCGTTCATATGAGAACATTAAGAATGAGGAAATATTAATTTATTTGCTAGTCACCTTTGCTACTTATATCTGTGTGTGTGATAAATCCGTCATGCATTCCTAGCAACGTATGATACTTCTCCGGCATTGCATATCCCGCACTTGTTCTCTTCTTTCCTCGAATGTCATTTCAGGCATTCTAAAGAGTTTGGCCAAACTTGGTCATTCTTACTCCCATAATTTCTCGTCATTTACTAAAGTGAAACTAAAGTCAATCCATGATCTAATTTGAGCACGTTGTTGTATCATTCAAGAGCTGACTTGAACCTACTTATGTGAACATCAAACAGAGCAGCGGTGACTCTGGTGCTAATGTGAAGCGGTTGGAGCAAGAAACTGAGGCAAAGATTGGTCACCTGAAGAAAGAAGCCGCAAGGATCTCCCATGATGTTGTACAGATGCTTCTGAAGTTTCCCATGATGTTGTACAGATGCTTCTGAAGCATGTTACAACTGTGAAAAACTAGGATCTTACTTGGCCTAAGTAGACAGATGTGTTCAAATACCCTCTTTTGCATGTACTTTTTGAACTTGAAGGTTGGAATTCCAGCTTGGTGAGAATGCTTGTATTCACTTGTCTGATATGTTTATGACTTGTATTGTTTGATTATGTTACTTTATGCAATAATTAAATCTCTTGTGAAATAAATTATCCCTGTTCTTACCATCGAAAAATCAAATTATTTTTTGAACAATTAAAATCTTGAGTTCCAAAATCATTGTGATTTTGTGGTGATTTTTCTCAACTCAATTGCTTCTATCCGCGAAGATCAGGATGTAGGCTATTTGCATAAACATAATGTCTGTGGGTGTAGGGCGGAATAAGGGAATTTAAAAGATGAGAATGAAAATAAAACAAGTAATTTCACACAACAAGAGATAGGGTATTAAAAAGATAAACATTATTATAAAAAATTTAAAATAATATTGTTTTTTTCTGTAGTTAAATGGATTAAAACCGCTCTGTTTTTAGTTATTTTGGCATAAAACGACGTCATTCTTTTCAAATAAAAAAAGTGATATTAAATTTTCATTTTTGGTTGATGGAGGGGGAAATTAAGTTTTTCATTGTTTGGATATGTAGAGGTGGGAAGCTGTAGAGGCAGCAACGCGTCGCCTTCGTCTGCGTGCTTTTCTTTTAATGGTTGGGCTGCAAGTGTCCAACCCAGATATGTGGGCTTAGTCGCCTCTTGGGTCAGAAAGGTGGGCCTGGCCCGTTCCCACCCCGCATCTTCTTTTCCCCCTTTTTCTTTCATTATTTAATCAAATTAATTTTTATATAAATTCATTAAATAAAATTAAATATCCTTTTAATATAGACGGATTATTATTGAGCCTTCTAATTTGGTTTTTTTTAAATAAATAATTATTCGCATCCTTTTCTCTCTTTTTATTGATAAAAATTAAACATATTCATATGATATATTTAGACTCAAATATAAAACATAAATATGATGTTAAATACTAAAAAATATAAATTAATTAAGAATTTTCAATGGTTAATATTGATTGCATTTTTATTCCATTCACTTAGATTTTTAAATTGATGGATTGTTAAAACGGACTTATCCGCAACAAGTGGATACAATACTAATAAAGCTAAGAGTTTTTTTTAAAAAAAAAAAACATTTTGGGAAAATTTGTATACTTTTTTTAAATAATTTCTATCCCCTTTCCTCAGACACAAACACATAGTGGAGTGACTAGAGTAAGAGGCTTCTGTCAACGTCAAACCCCCATAACCATTTACAATTTCATCATAACGGGTCATTGGCCTGTGTTTTGTCGCCCACAAGAGGGCCTCTTGTTGTGGCAGGCGACCCCAGGCAGGAGGAAAAATATGTTTGCCTGGTTATGCTTAGAAGCCGATGGTGCTCTCTTATTCTATGCATTTCATATTCTGAAACAATACGTATTTCGATTCACAAGTTGGTCGTAACATTAAAGGCAATTCATATTTGGAGTGGAATGATTTTGGCTGTCCTTTTTAATGGTGCAATGCTGAGAAATCCTGCAAGATTTGCTCCACCACTATCCCACCTGCTAAGATGCCCACCCCAAGAAGAGCAGGCCTTACTCTTGATAGCTCATTTTGACTACTGTCCTCTTGTTCCTTGTTATACATTGCCCACGCCATTGCCGGTGGGAGAACTCCATAGAGAATTGTCATGCAGTAGCCTCCCTGTTCCACATTGAAGGGTCAGTGATCAGAAAGATCGGTTCTCTAGGTTTTACTATTGAACTGTGTGCTCTGATCCAAAACACGAGTTAGCATTCCTTTTTGAACGGAATGCGCTAAAAGCTAGTTGTTGTTAGGTGATCATTCTTAAAATCCATTTAGCATCCTTGTGGGGACTTACAGCGATGTCTGTGGCGGCGGAGAATGCATCTGGAACAATGGTTGAGACGACTAGCGTTGGAGCAACTGCCATTGCCTTTGCCGTGAAGCTGATTTTATTCCTTTCCCACCATTCACCCAACCCAATTGGTTCCTGTAATATCTTTGCATTTTACGCTAATGATATTATTAATGTTATGGATAGGAGAACTTGTGCTGATAAATAATCACTATGAGGCAGAATTAGAAAAGGGAAAAAAAATGTTACCTGTAATGTTCGTGTAGCTTTCGAATCCCTTGAGAGGTTCTTCAGTTGCTCCTTGAAGAACTCCAAGAAGCCAAGGAGAGTGCCAATCAATGATGTTGCTACTGCAAGAAGTGAGAAGGCCTCTACCATATATGAAACCCCACTCCATCTCTCACTGATGCAAGGACCGTGCATCATAGATATTAATTAATCTCACCATTTGTTTATTTGTTGATAAATTATGAATTACATTAACTAGAAAATTACCGAGCATCTCAAGTCTTCATATAATATGCAGTCTAATTACCTCATAAGCAAAACTGGATCAACAACTTGATCAGCCTGGGCAGAAAGGCCAAGTGCAATTGCATCCCAAACAAGCAAGGCCAGCAAAGGAACACTGCTACCCAGCAAAACTGAAGTCCTTAGTCGCTTAAGGTCACCACCCAAATAAGCACAGAGAACTGCAGGGATATTGAATAGAGTGAACGAGGAGGCTTTCTGTTGATCAAAAAGTACATATTTTGGAGAAGAACCTATTTACCAGGTGCTAGATCATGATACACTAAAGCAAAAATCATCACAGGAATTGTAGCTGGAACTTTTCCCCAGTCACCACTTCCCTCCAATCCTGACCACCCTCCGAAAGCAACAGCTATCACCTCAATCGCTAGTAGCAAACCTGTGCATTAGTCCCTCCTCGTTGTTAGGATTCATATGTAGCCATTAAAGTAACTAGCCCGGCAACAAGTTACTGATGCAAAAGTAACACAACGTTTCCAAGAGGAACAGGGGAAGCTGTCCAAATAAGTGGAATAGTGTGGAAGCATTTTATTGCATTTCTTAATATGGTTTTAACAACAAAATCATCGTATACCTATCATGGAAGCAGTAAGCCATTGATTGACTTGATCAGTTGCTTGAGTCCCACCAACGGAAACTAGCACAGTGAATATAGTAGTGAAGAGGCAGGATGAAACAGATTCTGGAAGATTTACCAAATGAAAAAGGATCTCTCCAGACTTGGAAGTATAGGCAATCATGGAAGTGTAAGCCAAGAAGACATAGGTAATGGTAGCCAAGGTTCCACCCCAGTCTCCTAGGGTCTCTTGAGCCATAGTCCTAATAGATATGACATCTAGTTCACTCTCATCTTCATTTTTTCCTTGCTTCCTCCTCAAACCCACATTGATCTCAACAAGCAAAAGTGCTTCAATTAGGAGAAAACCCCAACATACTATCATGCATATTGAACTTGGAATGACTCCCTGAAATGGAGGTTTTGATACATTAATTAATCATAACGAATGGGATCATTTCTGAAATGGCAGTCTTTAGCATGATTGTAAATAATCATAGGAATATCATAAGTGTCTGTTAATCACAACTGCATTGAAAGCTTGAATATGTGTGTGGAGGAGAGACAGAAAGGGAAAGCGAAAACCTTACTGCAGTAGAAGCTTTCTGTGGCAGGGCAAGTATCCCAGAACCAATACTGGTACCAATAATAAGAGCAACAGCACCAGCAACAGTTCCTTTAGCAGGCTCCTCACTCAATTCTACAGGAACTTTCTTTGCCTTCGTTACTAAAGGTCTTTGAGTTGTAATTTCCCGTCGCTCTTGCGGGCATCTGCAGGCACAAGCAAGATAGCCACGGCTGAAAGAAGAGAGACTGATGGTTAAATTTATGCATTAATACAAAGAGAAGTTTCAGGAAGAATCAGAGAAGGGAGTTCCTTCATACATCCTGTACTTGAAGTAAACTGTGGTGTTCTTTTGTTGCCTTCTAATCAACGGTGGAATCACAGTGACATTTTTGTGACTTTTGGAGTGCAAGGAAGAAGATGAAGGCATGCACTGTGTATCCATGTGACAGAGGAAAGAGGAGGTATGGAAATGAATGGACCATGAATGCAAGTGCCCTCCATGTATCTTGGAAGGGGACCATGTTAGAAAATGACTGACGGTCCACGGGATATTTTGCAACAATGAGTGATCTGAGTGCTTGAAAATTGCTTTTCATTCCCAGCAACAACTTCATTCCAAAAAAAAAAAAAATGTCGCGTTGGAACTCAAATGTGCTTGTATAAATCGACGATTCCAGGACAACAACGTCAAAAGGTCTTTAAGGACCTTCTCCATTTTTCTAGCAAATAGAGCTCAGATAAAAGCCCATGAATCCTTGCTGTAACCTGCGGAGATTTTTGGACCACGCCAGGGTGCTACAAAATATGGACCGTATTCCGGCCTATTTAACCACAAGAAATTGGGCCCAGTTAACCACAAGAAATCGAAAATTGAAACAAGGGATGGAGTGCAAAATGTTCTTCTTGAGATTAAAGTTTTTATACACTATTACCTAGCCATGGATTATCAACGATTTGATTCAGTGGTCGAAAATGGGTCAGTCACCATTTATTCAAAAACCTTTTGACACCGTTAAAAAAATCGCGAAGGATCCAGTAAACATGGAATCAAAAGGTCAATAACCAGGAGGATGGATTGTGACATAGGAAGGTAAATAGGGAAGGGGTTAAAAGATAAATGTGACGAGGACCACAGAGTTATGGAGGTACGGGATATCAACTTGATGAGAAGTGACAAAACCACCACGAGTTAACACAAGTGAGCTGTTGTACAGAAGCCAAGAGAGGTTCTTGCTCTTGCTATACACAACACATCTCAATGGCTTGTTCTGCTGTCCTCTGTAGACATCCAGTCACTGCAAGCCCATCCCCTGCTCTCATAAAGGTCCAAAACGCTTTTAACACTGCTTCCACTCGTGCATCTATTGTTTGTGTTTTGTTGTGATTCCTTTTAAAAAATTAATGAAGGGAGAAAAAAAAAACACAGAGTGGATTGATGAAGCAAGAATTTACTAAGTATGGGAATGACTTTGGAATGTTGGAGGGATAATTAAGTCCGAGGAAATTCTCTCCTGTAATTATTGTCTTTGATGAACGCTTAATAGGAAGTTAGGTGGGCCTTAATACAATCTTCACCGTGATTAGTGGAGTGCGTGCTTCAGTAAAAAAATTCTCTAATCTCATGGATTAGTGTCCCACTATCACCATGAGAGGAACTGTGGAGAGAGACTCAGACACCAATGTGAGTGCAGATGATTTTCGTAGACAACCCTTTTCGTGTCCGAAAAGCCAGTGAAAGTGAACTAACAACCAAGAGAACAGCCATGGAAGGATAACGAAAGAGACCCTCTAAATCTTCTTGAATCAAAGACGGAATTGGATGGGAGGGAACTTGTAAGGTTTGGAGAAATTAAGATTTGATTGAAAAGCTGTAGTAAACGGCTTAATGATTGCCCGCAAACTCATGTATAGTTGAGCATGGTGGAGATTTGTGGTGTACTTGTTTGAGATTATAACAGTAGATGTTGTTTAAATTATTTTTTATTAAAATAACTTAACACATCAAAATAATTTTAAAAAATAAAAAATAAATTTATATTTTTTAAAAACATAATTTCAATCCAATTCCAAACCATGTTAATAAATATTTACAATATCATTATCAAAACTCAATAAACCCTTTTTACATACCAAACAATCAACAAGACATGATGTAATTGGTTTGTCACTCACTTGTTATCAAGAACTTGTAGAGATTAGTGGATCAGAATCACACAAAAACAAAAAAAGGGGGTGTTTCCATCAACTCAATGCCGACCCAACTTTAATTTTCATTACGAGTTGATGGATTCCAAGAAAACGGCAGAGGGCAGCATTCCATCTTCCCCTTTCAAGCGTCACTGCTTCATTTACATGACATTTTTCATGTAGGAATCTGGGATATATCGAACTCCATGCGACTCTTCTACATGGCTGGCTAGCACATGCGTGTTTGGACGACGCAGCACGGGAAAAGGGAGCGTGGAAAAGTAATTGGGAGCCTCGACTGACATGAATGGAACATAGGAATCCCATAAATAAATAAATAAACAAGGGAACAGGGAAATGTAATTTTTTATTATTTATTTATTTTAGCCTTGAAAACCCAAACAGACAGAGTAATTAATGTGCTTTTGAGGATTTGATTCGAATATTTGACAATTTCATCCATATGAATAGGACCCACGTCGTGACCATTGACTAGTCTTTCTCGACCGGAAGACTAGATAATTCTAAACAATTTGCTTCTTCTCCCCACCCCCCCTTCATTCTCTGTTTGTGACCTCCTTGAATTCTCCATACAGGTAGGTAAGAGATATTATTTTTTAAAATATTATTTATTTAAAAATATATTTAAATAATATTTTTTTATTTTTAAAAATATATTTTTATATAGAACTTCAAAATAATTCAAAAATAATTTAAAACTAAAAAAATAAAAACAATCCAAAAACATTGTAAGACAACAACTCCAAATAAAAGGTTGATTTTTAAACTTGTGTTTGATATTACAGTATTCAGTGTTTTTTATTTAAAGATATATATAAAATACTAAAAAATAATTAATTTAATATTTTTTCAAGTAAAATAAGCTTTTAAAATGTAAACTATCAAATAAACAATTAACTATTATTATGTTATTCTTTATTTGTTAACAAGATAAGGATATCTTTGAGCATTAATTATAACTAAATTTATTTTTGAACAATTTCAAGAGTGCAGCTCTCCATATCAGGCACTATTACGAGTTATGTTGATGTTATTAATCATTAGATTTACTAATCTAGGCAACTCTTCTTGGAATAATTATCTAAAGCCTGACACACTGCGTTGAATTTATTTGTTCCATAGTTCAAGATAAATTTGGTATTTTAATGACTAAAAAGCGAGTACATTTACTCAGCCATGATTTCATAGCCTGGACTTGTCAAATTTGCCGTTTTAACTTTGGTAACCAAATTACAGCTACCACTCGCCCTTCCTTCCTGCCGTGGCAATAACCTAATGTCGACACCCATTTGCCGTCAGCACGTTCATATAGTATAGTGGAAGCCATTTTTGCCCTTGTAAGTCTAGCAATGGCAATTACCAATATATATATATATATAGAAAAAAAGGTTAGCACGTGTTTTTGTAAATGGAAGACTAGTCAGATCCTGGTGCGCTTAAACAGTCAAAATACATATCAGCATTTAATATTTTTAGAGCCTCTTAGGAACTGTAGTTCCTATTTTTTTTAAATAATTTTTCATATTAAAATATATATCAATGATATTTTTTTATTTTTTAAAAATTATTTTTAACATCAGCATATCAAAATGATTTGAAAACACTAAAAACATATTAATTTAAAATTAATAAAAAAATAAAAAAATATTAATTTTTTTCAAAAACACTTTTGAAACGCATAAATAAACAGACCCTTAGTGCCTATATGAGTTCAGTAATGTTAAAAATACTTTTGAAACGTAGAAACAAACCGACCCTTAATACCTATGTGAGTTCGGTAATGTATATGAGTTCAGTAATGTTTTTTTTTAAAATATTTTTTTATAAAAAATATTAATTTAATATATTTTTAAATAAAAATAATTAAAAATAAATTTGCAGCATTGTAAGATTTTTTGTATTAACATTAATTTTTATGATTTATATATTTAAATAAGCTCAGAAAATTATTTTAATTTTAGATAATTTTTAAAAACATATACTTTACATCAACTTAATATAATTAGAAACAAATTATTCAATTCTAACGAATATTTGATTCTAAAATCTGAATTTTTTTTAAAAAAAAACCTAGCCAAGAATTTGTCTTGCAGAGTGTTAGTGCGGCTCCATTCTTTAGCCGACGGGGGTGGCTCTGCCCTACGCGTAAGGACAAGTGGGGCGGGAGGAGAAATCGGGAACAAAAAAACAACTCATCAGTTTTTGTTGGTGATCAGCTTGACCGTTGATCACGGGCTCCCAGCGCCAACGAAATCTAGACCCTTTAATCAAGAACAAGAAATGACCCCACATTCAAGTACACTTTGTAGAACCAATCTCTCCTTTTCTCTTTGTTTTAGCGTTGCCATTTCCCTTGCCCCAAAATCAACTCCAATTCTTCACCCTTGATCGGAGAAAAATAATTAACGTAATTAAAATTGTGTTTATTAATATGTTTAAGAGTGCTTTTCCATTATTAAGACATCAAGGATGATAATTTTTTAATTTAAATATACCTTAAAAATAGTCAAATCATAATCTAAAGAATGGTGTCATACTTGGATTCTCTGATGCAATTATTTAAAGTTAAAATAATTTGAAATAATAGTTGAAGCAATTAAGAGGAGGCGTATTATTTTTTCTTTAACTGGGTCATTTTGTTCTTGATAAAAAGAGGCTAGTATCAATCGGTATCACAGGATAAAGAAAGAACGGAGGCAAGCCGGTTAACGAGATTAAAATGGTAGAGGTCGTTACCTATTTTATTTAGGTGAGGTGCCCACATACTATAGAGATTAGGAGAGAGGAGAGAGGGAAGGAGTGACCGTGTTGAAAAATGTTCTAGTGGTTTTAAAAGCCATAAACAGACATGCTCTGTAACTGCTGTGTTCTTGCCTCTTCTCCTCTTCCTATAAACCAATACCTCTCCTTGGTTTCTTTTGTGTTTTGTTTTGAGTGTTAGCTTGCTAATCGTTTGTTCTTTTGCTGGTTGGCTGGTTAATCTTTTTATGCTTCCATCCTAGGTACTACTATTTCTACCACTCCAGCTTTACTCTGGTAAAAGATACCACGTCCTCTACACACAGAGAGAGGGAAAGGGGAAGGATAGTGAGTGCCAGAGAGAGCAGGGGATTCGGCAAAAGGGTTTTTTTTTTTTTTCTCTTGGGAGAGAGCGTTTCTTGTTTCTTGTTTCTGTTCTTTTGATTTGTTTTTTACTTCTTCTCCTGTGAAGTACGATTGGTTGCGAGGCTGAACTGAAGTGAAAGTCTGGTTTTGGGTGCTGCTTCGAAGGGACTGGTTCGGTTGTGCCGTCTTTTCATATTTTGGTTTTGGGTGCTGCTTCGAAGGGACTGGTTCGGTTGTGCCTTCTTTTCATATTTTTGGAAGTTTCTTGTAAAGCTTCTTGTCTTCAAATCAACACTAGTCTTTGCATTGTTCAGCAACAAAATCAAATTTTGGAAACAAATTTATGTAGGCGTTAATACCAAGGTAAAAAAACTCTTTGTATAGCCAAATTAAGATAAAAAAAAACTGCAGCGAAGTGTGTGGGGGTTGGCAGCAAAGAAAGAATTTATTATCATTTAGCTATAAAATTCTTCCTCCTCACGAGAAACAAGCAAGAAAAACATTCGCTCCATAAGAACAACCTTCACAGTTTTCTTTTTTATCTCTTGCTTTTCTCTCATGGAGTACAATCAATCTTCAGAAATGCAAGAACCCAGTATAGACACTGACAAACTCAGCTACGAAATCTTTTCAATTCTTGAAAGCAAGTTTCTCTTCGGATATGATGATCAGAAACTCTGGATTCCTAAACAGGTCTCTCCTGAAACAATTGAAGCAAAACCCGAGTCACAGAATCCCTTGGTTCTTACAGAAAACAACAGCAACGGGCTGTCTGCGATCAAGAATCAAAGAGGCAAAATCTGCATATTGTCTATTGATGGTGGTAGCAGTCTAAAAGGGATTATTTCAGGGAAAGCATTGGCTTATCTTGAAAACGCGTTGAAAGTGAAATCAGGCAATCGTGACGCCAGGATTGCTGATTATTTTGATGTTGCAGCCGGAACTGGAATTGGTGGAATCTTCACGGCTATGCTTTTCGGCACCAAAGATCATAGCCATCCGATTATGAAAGCCGAAGAGACTTGGAAGTTCTTAGCTGACCAGGGCAAGAGATTTTACACTCACGGAAATGGTGGGTTTTTCAAGCGGTTTTTCAGAGGTGGCGCAACCGGTTCAACAGCTGCTACAGCCGGTTTAGAGAAGGCCATGAAGGAGACTTTTAGTGATAAGGGCCGGAATTTGACTTTGAAAGATACTTTAAAGCCGGTTTTGATTCCTTGCTATGATCTTTCCAGCACGGCGCCGTTTTTGTTTTCAAGAGCGGATGCATTGGAAACGGATAGTTTTGATTTCCGGCTTTGGGAGGTTTGTCGGGCTACATCTGCTGAACCGGGTTTGTTTGACCCGGTTTTAATGGGGTCCATTGATGGTCAGACCAGGTGTTTGGCAGTTGATGGTGGTTTAGCCATGAGTAACCCGGCCGCAGCAGCTATTACTCACGTGCTGCATAACAAGCAGGAATTTCCTTTTGTTAGAGGAGTTGAGGATTTGTTGGTGTTGTCCTTAGGGACTGGTCAGATTCTTGAGGTTAGTTATGAATATGAGCAGGTTAAGAATTGGAGGGCCAAGCAGTGGGCTCGACCGATGGCTCGAATCTCAGGTGATGGTTCGGCTGATTCAGTGGACCAGGCAGTGGCCATGGCATTTGGTCAGTGTAGGAGCAGTAACTACGTAAGAATTCAGGTATGGTAATGACATCGCTATCTTTAATCTTATTTTGCTTGATTTCAATGTACAAGACAGTCCTAGCCAGGCTGGAAATGGTTAACCTGAGTGTGTCTTTTTCACTCGTATATAATTTTTGTGCGTATTTAGCTGGGTTTTGGGTTTTTGCAATTGAATGTGCTGTTTGCACTTTGCATGTGTAATGGCCTAATGGGGTCGGCGGCACACTGTGTCCTGTGGCTTATGGTTAGCCAACATGTAAGGGGGTGTGCCCGGGAAACCATAAATTCAAGTGCCCCCATGGAATTATGGGAGCATATGGGTACCTGTGCTGGTGACTTGCACATGATGGGTGGGTTTGGCCTCTGGTTTTTCTTGTTTTCTATGACCAAGCCAAATGTTGGGTTTTGGTTTGACTCGAGACCTTGGATTCGTTGGTGTTGTGTTCTTGGAATCTGGTTAAACCATTCCTTGATGAAGAGTTTGTGGGGTTTTTCTTCTTGCAATAAGTAGGATGGAAAATGGCTGGAGAGCCGGAGACTGGATTTTCTATAAAATGAGTGGTCATAAAAATGTCATCCACCATGATTTTACGTTTTTATATTTTTCTTAGAGCCGTAGTCAGCTACGAGGATCACTTATGGTAATGCTTTGGCTTTGTCTGCTGTCAGATACAAGGACATGTATAGATCTTTGATGCCCTTGCACTGCCTTTGTGTTTGTCACCTACATAGATAGCAACGAGGGATCTTTACTTCTGAATGCATGCGTGATCTCTGTGTTCCTTTCGTTTTTGTATACGAGAATGTCTTTTTAATTAAGGTTCAACATTAATTGAAGTAGCCCGTTGGGCTGATAGTTACGAATTTGAAAAGGGCAAGATTATAAGGCAATGTTTCCATAAAAAGTGGATATAGAGGATGTGGAGTAGAAATTAGGCTGTGTCTTGTGTAGTTTTTTATGGTAAAAAGCGTTCTCGGATCAGATCGAATCGGTGATCTCTTGTTGAATTGAATATTCTCGATATTATGCGTTAAAGATGGCTCGTACCACTTGAATGCATAATTTACCGGCTTTGCTTGTGAGTTACCTTCCTAAACCTGAAGGCATCTTCTTAGGTAGTGGATAACCTAAAGTTTAAACTGTACTGAAATTTATATAAAAGAAAAAAAAGCTTAGACAAGGAATCTTAGACTGTTATAGCCTCGTGACCACTGAGTTCTGCATTCCCTTCTGTGGTGAGATTGCTAATATTTCTGTCTGTGTGTGTGTGAGGGACATTCCCTTCTGTGGTGAGATTGCTAATATCTGTGTGTGAGGGGGAGAGAGATATGAGCAGTGAATGCCCTTATTCGTAAAGTTTTAATTAATTATTTGAGGGGCCATCGTTAATGGGGCCATTCTTTTTGGGGGGCTTTTGGCTTGATTCGCTAGTTTCTTATAGTAGTTGGATTAATTTCAATTCTCTGAATAGCTGCATGGATTAAGTTATCTGACACCTGTGGTTCTTTACCTTTATTATGAGAATATGTTTAATCTCCTGATCATATTAATTTTGGTGTGACAGGCAAATGGGTCCAATCTAGGAAGATGTGGACCTAATGTGGACACAGACCCTAGTCCTAACAATGTAAAGATGCTGATTGGAATAGCAGAGGAAATGTTGAAGCAGAAAAATGTAGAATCTGTGCTGTTTGGTGGCAAGAGGATCGGGGAGCAAAGCAATTTTGAGAAACTTGATTGGTTTGCTGAACAGCTTGTGTTAGAGCATCAGAGGAGGAGCTGCAGAATTGCTCCCACTGTTGCTTTCAAGCAAGCTGCGACCAAAACAACCTAGACTATTCTCAACAGTGTCAAGAACCAAAATCAAACAAAAAAGGAAAGGTTAGCTTTTTCTTTCCATTTCTTACTATATAATAGATTTATAATCATAAATCCAGCTTTATGCTATTTCTCTCAGATTTATAGCATCTTACTGGACCCTGCTTTGAATGAACATGATCAAGTGGGGACACTCACAGTACTCTGCAGGAGGGGTCTTTAGAGGGGTTCAAACTACTTTTTTTTATCTAAAGCTTTCAAAACTAGTTGTAGATTGAAAACTTCTGGGTTTGTATTTCAATGTTTTGATCATTACTTCAAATCTGCTTTTGCCTTTACAGCCTTGAAAAGTCACTGTCCATTGAAGCCAATTGCATCTACCCGAAAATGAACACTCCCTTTTACATTTGGACTAAATTAAGCTTACACATTTAGCTCATGCATTTTCTTATTCCAGCAAGCTTTTGATGTGTACAAATTGTGTTGTCTTCAACAAACGGACGTAAAAGGAGGAAGGTGATAGCTTGAATTGTCATTTAGTGAACTCGTAGGCTCAACTTGTGATTTTCATTATCTGATACGAAAAATGAAACAACCATGTAACAACCGGTTGTTCTTGTTGAACATAAAAGTTAGCAGATGTAAGAACTTACGCAAATTGGTGATGTGGGGAAGCCATTCCCAATTGTTGTCGGTCGACAGACACCGGTTCTTGTGATAGATTAGGGACACCCCAGTCATTTTATGGAACAACTTTATTGTTCCAGCTTCTGGGTCATTGATGGGTGCCTGGAGGTATTCCCGCTGTACCCTAAAAAGAATTCCCTTTTATCATATTTCAATTCACTGTTAGGACAAAGCTGAATTCTATGTCCTCGCCCCAAGACCTTTAGCCTATTAACCAAATGCCATTCTTTTTGCTTTATTTATAGAAGAACATGAATTCTACCAGTAAATGCTGGCAATGCTGTCGTGTCTTTTTATTGCCTTCAAAGTTCATTAATGCTATTGGGTCCTTGGAGTGATGTAGAGAGGGGAACTGTTGCCATTATTTTCCTTCGAAGTTTGAAACTTTTGCATTTAGGACATCAAAGGTGATGATTTTATGCGTGAGCTTTTTTCTATAACATCATGAACACACAACATTTTTAATATTGTCATTGAGATTTGAGGCAGGTGTAATCATTTGGGTTTTCCTTTGTCCTTTTCAATTGTATTCTGAAAATGTCTCTGCTTTGATTATCAATATAATATAGGACAGTAAATTCAATGATTCCAGTAGACGTCAACACTGGGCCGATGCTAAAATATCAACACCGTAGTATCTGGATTAAGTGCTTACAGTCTGCATATAGCTGTGCCTATTCATGTAAATTGCTCAGTACTGCAATACTTCGTGGACCATTATTATTCAATCGTGTAAATAAGGGGAACTCTCCTGCCGTTAAATTCTCTTCGGTAACAGCTAGCAACCCTTAAATTTAGTCCCATGTCACCACTGTATGGAATGGTTTGTGTGCAATGTGGGGGACCGATTGCTTTCAAAATTCTTGGTGAGCTTAATCATGTGGTTTCAATATTATTACATTTACCAGGTGAGTATGATAGGGGAAAAATGATTAAAGGAGATTAGGCCGTTAGATCCACGTCCAGTTGTTGGTATGATGTGCCTCAGATTTGAATTCACATTTTGATAATTTTGCCTTAATTTTTCAACCTCAGTACTGCATTGTTTTGTGATATTATACCTTTTGAGCTGTTCAAATGTTTGCGGGGGCATGTATGGTCAAAAGAATTGGCATTTGATTATGAGATTTTGAGCTTTGTGCTTCTATTTGGTATCTTTTTACGTGTAGAATTTCATTGTTAACAGTGAGTTTACGTTCTGAAATGCAGGCGGAAAATATATTTAAGGAACAAAAAGGAAAGGGAAGGAAGAGGGAAAAGGTAAATATAGCAGCTTTTACTCTTGAAAGTCACGAAGATAGCAAGAGAAGAAGAGGAGGTGGGGGGATTGAGTGAAAAAGGACAAGAAGAAGAACATAGAGAGAGGGTAGAAGATCTTAGTGGGATACTTTGCCTGCCAGGTGATGGACATGGTGGTGTCCACTCCACCTTTCTACCGTGGCAAGGAACCGAGAAAGAAGAGAAACAAAGAAGAGAAAGCAAGAATCAGTTAAGCTTTTGAAGGTCAAACCAAGTATCAGGTGTGAATCTTTTACTGTCAATTCAGATTTTTGGGTGGGAAGACTCTGTTTGTAGATTTCCTTTATTTATTTATTTTAATTTATTTATTTTCTCAATCAGACTCAACTCTCAAGAAACTTGAGCGTGGGGTGCATGGTGGGCTACCTGCACTGAACCCCTGATATATAGCCGAGTCCCTCTTCTTTTTTTTATTACTACAAGCTAAAGTTCTTTACTGAGCTTTGGTTCCTTTTCAGCTTTTTTTTCTTCTTCTTTTTTTTCAAATAGATTGTAGCGGTGAAGAATAGATTTGAGAGTGACCAGTAGTTCTCCCCAAACCAACCACATCTCCTGTACATGGAGAAATGTAAAAAAAGTTTATATTTCATGTGTGGATGACAGAATAGTAGTTTTTGCAATTGTAATTTTTTTAAAAAATTATAAATTATAATATTTTAAAATTGTAGAGTGAATTGATTAGTTAAAGGGGTAAAAGTATATAGCAATGCATCCCAATAATAGAAACAAAGGGAGCCTTAATCCTTGATTACTCGAGATGGGGCCCTCCGTTGATTTCTCTCATGTGAATTTCGGTTGGGATCATGGTTGGTTGTAGTGGGTGATGTTTGTATTCTTCCTGGTTGAGTTTAGTGAAATTAGCTCCCTTTTAAGCTTTAGCTTTTTCATGGGCCTCACTTACTATTACCAAATGATTAGTGGGTAGGTATTATTCGGATAATGATGGACGATATGGATATATACTGAATATTTTTTATAGAATATATCAAAATAATACGTGAATTTTTATTTTTTAAATTTTATCATTAACATCATTGTATCAAAAAAATATAAAAATATTTTAAAAAAGAATTGTTTCTTCTTTCTTCTTTCTTCTTTCTTTCAAGTTTGAAGATAATACGTATACTCTTTACCAATTGCCATATAAAATTTAGGCAGCAAGTTTCTATTTCATGGCGTGAATTTGCGCATGATATCATGGAACCACGGCCTCATCATTGGTAATAAACAATTATCTTAGGAGAGGGCTTGTCGAGTCGAGTCGAGTCGAGTTCATGTCTTCATGTCTCTTCTATTTTTTTAACCATCCATTTCACTAGCTTACGAGCATTAAAGAAATGCTAGCCCTAACTAACTTTTTTTGCTGTAGAAATAATAATGGTGATATGTGATGTCTAATCCAACTTTCAATTTGTCACGTACGATCATCAAATCAACGACAAGAAATTAAAGAACAACGCAGGGCTCGATTAGACAAATTGATCCGCCATACTTGGCTTTCTCAGGGATAGATCATGGGCTCGTGACCGACCAGATTCCATGCATCACACCATGATCTTACTGTTTTAGCCACTAATATATATGAGAGACGAGACGCGGAATATACATCTAGTAAAGCCCTGCTCTTTATTTCTCTCTCTCCCTCTTTTTCTTCCCCTCTCCATTTCTAGCAATCATATGCTAAGAAGTTCTCTAATCCCTATATTTGACCCGTAAATCTCTCGTGCTTGGTCCGTCTAGTTGACCCTACGTACGTGGTTGGAAAGCATTTTACCATGCAGGTTAAAGGATAAAGAGAGCCATGGCTTTAGAGCGAAAGCAACACATTTTTATAATATATACTAACGTTGATAATGCATGCTCTTAACATGAGGACATTAAAAAAGCAAATAAACGCTCGGTGCAGTGGTTAATATGCTCATTTTCCTCTTTTAAAATATGTTTCTCTTTTCATGGGCTCCTAGCTAGACGGTAGTTGATCCCATTGCCACGTAAAATGCTCGAGTTTTGGCTTGAGCATGGGTGCTATAGGTGTTAGTGTCGATGGCAGTAAATTGTTTAATGGGTATGGAAACAGATATATAGGCGGTTCAGAGGTGTTAAAAATACTGTTTTTAAGATATTTACTTGTTTTATTTAGATACAATATCGGGAAGATATAACTAAACTTTTTAAATTACCAAAAAAAACCAAAAAAAATAAAAAAAACACCTTTGTTTTGTATCTTTGTTCTTTGTGAAGTGACAAGTTTATATGGACTTAAAATATTATATTAATGGTAGAATCTGGATCATCTTTGAGTTTATTGATGAGGATGCGCGTGTTTGGCTTGTCCACAAAAAATGCTAAATATAAAGCAAAAGTTGTGTTCATAATTAATAATCACCTTTTGTTTTATCTCTCCAGAAAACGATAATGATAATCATCTTGACAGTGATAATCACTGGTGGCGCTTGCCAATACCCTATGTGCCCACTCCTTCCCCACTAAGCATAGGCAACGCAATCGCTTAATGCACCTAAACGCTATTAATTAGTACTTGTTAACTACGTCAAAAGCATGGCAGGGTGAATAATAATAACAATAAATAACATAAAAAAATAAAGGAAAATAAAGCATATGTAATTAGTTGGGAGATTAAGTTAAGTTAATTAGTTCAACGAGAATGACCTAACCCGATATCAAAGACACAGAGGGATGTTAACTGAAAATGACAACAAGAATGTCAGTGGTGTTTTCCCCATTGCTTGCCGTGGTTGCTAACCTTGGTTTTGCTTGTAGCCTTGCACTTGAGAAAGAAGGGCAACATGAATGATTCACTGCGCGTCGCCGTAAAGGATGTTTTTTAATGGAAAATATATTAAAATATTTTTTTTAATATTAATATATTACAAATATTATTTTAAATAAAAAATTTGAAAAACAAATATATGGTTTTATTTAGGAATCCAGCTGTGATTACTTTTTAAATAATTTTTTGAGTCAAAATACATGTCAATGATATATTTTTATTTTTTAAAAATTATTTTTGATATAGTAAATCAAAATAATTTGAAAATACTAAAAATATATTAATTTAAAATTAATAAAAAAAAAATTAATATGCTAGCATTACTCGGTCATGTTCTTTACCTATAATTGATTATGCTTGGAATTGATTTTTTTTTTTTTTTTGATAATATGACATAGTAATTTTGGGAAGGAAGATTCAAACTAACTAGTTAATTACAACCTCTCTCAACCTGGTACTTCTGGGAAGGAGATGTGTAATAATTGTCGATTAGGGATGTCTCTCCCTACCTGAGTGAATGTGATCAACCATAAACACATATTTTGTTGTTGAAAAGGATATATATATATATTAAAGTTTCATTTTTCTTGTGTTTTGAAAATTAACTTTCCAGGTCTAAGAGATCATTTTGTCCAAAAAGGGGGCATAAGGTCATGCAAAGACATATATAAGCGACTAAAAAAAAAAAGATAAAGCTCAAGAATTATAAATGTAATATTAACATGATGTATATTTAAAGGAATTTAATAAATCTTTCTGGTTTTAATCCTGTTATTTTAATCTAGAAAATCAAGGAAGAGAACACACCGTGGCGAGGAATTTTATTTCCATGTAATTTGCTTAAACATGGAAATTTAATGAAATAGCGGTTTCTTCAAGCTGTAAATTCCTGATGTTATTACATTTATTTTTAGATCAGCAAATGAACTAATTTTAGGGTCAATATCCTGGCGGTCACCATGTATCCTCCCAAACGATGCAACTTTCCTTCGCCAAGAGTGCAATTATGACTTCTGGGTAGGTATATCGTGCATTTTCTTGACGTGATTTATTAATGGTGCCAGCAGCACTGTTGGAAATTTGATAACAATCCTGCCAGGGTGACAAAAAGAGGAATGACGATGATGTTGAGCAGGTGGTCTAAAATTAAATGAATCACTGAGACAGATAGAGAGTATCCCACCATGGAGGCATACAAGGGCTAAACGACCATGATTTTTGTTTTTTTTTTTTTTTTTATCAAGATATCTGATTGAGATTCGTCAGCCCAAATTCAAAGGGCATTTCAAACCTCAACATTCAAAAGGCATACATGACTTTCTTTAAGGGTAAAATGCAGAAGTTTTAATTTAATTCCTGATGGATAGATAGCAGACAAAACCTACCCCAACGGGCTCAGGGTTTTAATTCCATCTCTGACAATTTTTGGTCGTGCAAGAACATTTAAATGAAAGATCACAAAACCCAATCTCTTAATCAACATCTCATTAGAAGATAATCGCTTTTAATCTTCATCCAGAGAGCAGAAAAATATGACAGGAGCTTGGCCCTCTCAGCTGATCTCTGAGAGAGCTTCAATTTATACAAGAAGAAAATAAATAGAGAGGCGAGCGTTCGCTACCTCTTTTGCTTCTACAGTTTTTATTTTTTATTTTTTATTGATGAATAATATCAGATATCTGCTCACATTATGCCATGAGAGAGGGTGAAAAGGAGCGTGAACAATTTCGGAGATTACAACAACAGAATACTTAAAAGAAAGGAAAAATAAACTGAACTTGTAGCCAATTGTCTCTGCAAGAAAACTGTCGTGGACATTATCACTTTTGTCTCTGCAAGAAAACTGTCGTGGACATGAAGTATCACTAATAGACAGCTGAAAATTATGTTACAGCGACTCCATCTTTCATACAGACGCATTGGCTGCCTCAAGTCTTGGCATTATCAAGGGTTCTTGTAGCTCTGAATTGATGGGAAACAGATAGCATTGCGAGTATTGTGCCATCAACTGGTCCATGAGCACCAAGGCCACCATAGCTTCCACCATTGGTACCGCTGTGTTACCATCCCAAACAGGCATACTCTTAGAGAGAATTATCTTTTCTTAAACAAGCATACTCTTAGAGAGAATTATCTTTTCTTTCACATTCAAACGAGCAAGCATGCATGATTAATATTGGTTCTCTTCAATTTTTCACTAAAGATGATACTGTAAGCCCACTCCAAATTGCATGAATCATCAAAATTCTAAAAGATATTTCAATCATTTGAAGAATCGACCTATCACACGAGGACATACCTCGTGGGACAACACAGGGATCATGGCGACCGCGAGCAATTAGATCTGTCTCCTTTTTATCTCTAGTAACTGTATGTTGCTTCTTCTGCGCACCAGCACACCAAATATATATAAAATCCAGAATAAAACACAAGCAAATATTTGTCAAATATGCAAGCGGAGCTTAATAAACCAACAAGAGCAGCAGATGCATAATGTGGAAAACAATCTGATAGTTCCTAGCAGATCTTAAGAAATGATCTCAAAGAGATCAAGCTCATCACAGACATGATCTTTACATCATCTTAAAAACAAATAACTAGGCATACAAATAAATGCATGCACTAATATTGATATTTAGATAGATCAAACTTACTCCTATTGTAGATGTTGGCTTGAAAGCTATTCTCATGTTTATAATTTCACCATTTGATATTCCTCCCTGCTCGTCAAAAGAGGAAAATATCAAAACTGATGTTCAACCAGGGATATCATACCAAAGTACTAAAATTAGAAAGAGGATCATGAATCAAACAAGCACCTGTATTCCACCAGAACGATTTGTTCTTGTTCGGATTCTTCCATGTTTGTCCGTGTAGAACTCGTCATTATGTTCACTCCCAGTCAAGAGAGTGCCTGCAATGATTTTCATCATTGATTAAGACTTAGAATTGTGGCTTGATATATAGCAATAAAAAAATACAGAGCAGATGATAGCATCCTAAGCATATCATTCCCAATCACCACACTTAATTGAAAAACTTGGGTGCCAAATGTACTCTAAATGTGCATAAAAGTTACCAACCTGGAAATCCACTCCCAAATTCAAAGCCCTTTGTTGCAGGTAGTGACATAGCAGCTTTAGCAAGCTCCGCTTCGAGTTTGTCAAAGACTGGTGAACCAAGCCCCTGGCATGCAAGTATAGATTTAATCCAGGCAAAGAGTGCACAATAACAAGCCATAAGAATAAGCTTTGTATGTTCAGGATCTAGAAACTTCTTTGAAAAATCCAAAATCTGATGATGAAACATCACATACAAATCAATATATGCACATTACACAGGGAGATAGAGACAATCAATACTTACACGCGGTGCATTCCTTACAATACAAGTGACAACACCACCAACAGAATCCCCTTTCACTCGGACAGCATCGATGGCAGCTATCATCTTCTCTGCATATTCAGGATCTGGACATCTGACAATATTGCTCTCCATCTGTTAAGGTGGCATGCATAGCAGTGTCAGACTAAGGGCAAATAAAGTGAATCAAAAACTAAAGAAAACCAATTAGGAAAAATCTGCAGAAAAGGGAATTTGACTTTCAGATTTATAAAATATTATTTCTTCTCAGTCAAACTTTTACAAGTCCAAATATAATTTTATGATTGTTGAAGTGTTGTAAAACTTCATGCAGGACCAAGGCACTCAGATTTGTGAGAGGTTCTTGCCACAAAACTGACATCCCAAAAATACATCGCAACTTCTTAGTTAGCTTCTCACATGGCTAAACTGAATCCTGAAATAAATGTTCTTCAGAAACACCCTCTCTTACCTGATCAAGTGTAAGAGTGTCGTGATCAACCACACCTTCTGGAAGTACAACCTTGTGGACTTGAGAGACATAAGCAAGAATCTGAAAGCAAAACAGACATTAAGGCAAAGGATAATGAAAAAACAGAAAAAAATCCAGCACTAAAAGGAGCTGTCACATTACTCCTATATTTTTTTTTCATCATAAGATGGATAAAATCATTACAAGGAAACTTGTTTAAAAATATTTAAAATCTATTTCCATCCAACATACAAAATTGGAAACAGAATTAAGCGTCTCAGATAGCAAGACTTACATGTGATAACAGAGCATATCCATAAAAGCAAACAAAAATAAAAAAATGCACAGACCAAACACTCCAAAAGATGAAGGATTTTGTCCACAAATGGTAATGGAGACAAAAAATCAAGAGTAAACAAAAATAAAAAAATGCACAGACCAAACACTCCAAAAGATGAAGGATTTTGTCCACAAATGGTAATGGAGACAAAAAATCACAAGAGTAAACAAAAATAAAAAAATGCACAGACCAAACACTCCAAAAGATGAAGGATTTTGTCCACAAATGGTAATGGAGACAAAAAATCACGAGTAAACAAAAATAAAAAAATGCACAGACCAAACACTCCAAAAGATGAAGGATTTTGTCCACAAATGGTAATGGAGACAAAAAATCACAAGAGTAAACAAAAATAAAAAAATGCACAGACCAAACACTCCAAAAGATGAAGGATTTTGTCCAAAAATGGTAGTGGAGACAAAAAATCACAAGAGTAAACAAAAATAAAAAAATGCACAGACCAAACACTCCAAAAGATGAAGGATTTTGTCCAAAAATGGTAGTGGAGACAAAAAATCACAAGAGTGAATTTCTCTACACCCAGGTCTTAACAAACACACCTCAGTTCCTGCATATAGTTTGAGAATTTTCTTAGCAACACCTCCAGCAGCAACTCTTCCAATTGTTTCTCTTGCTGAAGATCTACCCCCACCCTTCAGTTAGAATTCAAATAAACCATGTCACACTTGCATTTCATAATAATGCCAACAGTATCTTTATAATCAGAGTGCTTATTGGTTAAATAAACTACCTGAACTGATCTAACACCATACTTCATGTCATAAGTTGCATCTGCATGTGAAGGCCTGTAAGCAACTGACATTTCACTATAATCCTGAAATTCAACAAAATAAGAATGAGACTTTCTCAACTGCTTAGAAAATACAAAACAATACCATCCAAGTATATTGTTGTCCAATTACATGTGCCTTTCCCTAGTAAACAGACACCCCATTATTTATCTTGTTCCACAATTTTCAAATCAAATTCATATCCTAAAATTTTAGCAATCGAATGTACATGTAGTCACCATCATAGTGGATAACAGAACTATATTATTTTGAAAACCCTAGGAAATATTCTTTAGGCAAACACTGCAAAGTAATCTAAAATGGAAAGTAAAGACCAGGCAAAATCATTTTCCATCAAACAAATTTGCTAAAAACATACTGTAAGCCCGTTTTCAGCTAAATTGACCTCCTTATATATGCCAAGTATCACACATGCCTCTAGCATTAAATACTCACAAATCCTCTCTGATCAGTATTTGGTACAAATACATGAATCGGCGTCCCAGTAGTCAGTCCTGCAGTTAACACACCACCACCACCATATCAGCACATCAAAAACCAACACCATCAGCAACAACACATTAACCAAAAAAGAAGACAAAACCTTCAGAAACACCGGAAGATATTTTGCAGGTATCCGTCTCTTTTCTCGGAGTCGTAATTCGGCTCTGACCTGGCCTCCTGCACACACAAAAAACTAATCAATACAATACACCTTGAGGCACAAAACAGATCACAAAAGTAATTCTTTGACAAAAGAAGAAGAAATAACCTTCTATCTAGATCAAATTGCATATCAGCTTCGGATAGGGGGATGCGCGGAGGACATCCATCAATTATACAACCAACACCACCTCCGTGTGACTCACCAAATGTAGTTACTCTAAAATTAGTCCCAAATGTGCTTCCCGCCGCATTTATTTCTATATTAAATAAAAAACACAAGTCAAGCTGAGTAAACCTAAATTCAATATCTAAAATGCGAGAGATTATGCAAGCAGATAAATGAATTTTTAAAAAGAAAAGGACACTTACGGAGTTTCTTTGGAATACGTGAGCAGAAGGAGATCTGAACGGAGGAGATTGAGAGTTTACGGAGGTCCGAGGAGACTGAAGCACCGTCAATTCTTGAGGAACCGAGGAAGGACTTGGAGGTAAGAGTAGAAGAAGCCATTGATCTCTCTAATGAAAATCGCGAGAGAGAGAGAGAGAGATGAGGAGAGAGAGAGTAGGCTGGGAGAGATTGGTTTGGTTTTATTTAATAAAGCAAATTGCGTGGGGTTTGTCTGGAACCACCTACCCCCCTCTTCTCCCCGCCTGTGTGTTGGAGAATTTCCCCTTTTTTTTTTTGTTCTTTTTTTTCAATTTTTTGGGTAGGTAAGCACTGACTAGGCAGGTAGTGTGGAGAATGGGAAGGCGATGGCCCAATCTTTGCTTGGATATCATACAAACTTGGTAGGTGGTGGTGGAGTGAAACAACAATAATTTGGAAAGAACTGCCACCAACCTATAACTTGTCCATACTTGAACAAAAATACGACTGGTCAATTCATACATTATACGGTGGCTCCTCCTTTTACACCGACCACCAGTTTGGTTGTTTTACAACATTTTAATCAACGACCGCACTGCTAAAAGATCGTTTTACGAAGATGCTAGCTAGCTAGCTATTACCAAGAAACTGCTCATGTTTTTCGAATCACAAAAACTCTTAGATTTTGACTTGCGAGAAGAAAAGAATGCGAGAGAACCCATTCAAAACGCAAATGCAAGAGATGCCAATCGAATACAAAAGGCACGGGGAAAATAATAATGATACACCTGTATGGAATTTTTTATAATGGTAAGTTGTAACAATCGAATACAAATGCAAGAGTCAATGTTTAAATATAATTGGATCTCCAGGCCACTACAAAGAAGAAAAAACTGTGAAGCTGCGTTGCCCCTGAGCTCTACAGGGCTATCTGTGCTTGTGTGCAGCAAGAATGACAATTTCTGAGGGGAAAAAGTTTGTGGAAAAGAAAATACAACAGTGTTGCTATTCTATAATGTGAACGTCTGGTTCTGATCCTACTGAAATTCTATCACTGCGCTTGCTGGTGCTCGTGTTTTCAGTAACATTTCATCGTATTCGTCTTCAGGATTTGATAGAGCAACAATAGCTCCTCCTGCACCTATAGAAGCTTCACCGTCATGAATAACTATTGTTCTTATCACTATATTCAGATCAAATGTCTGATTATATGAGAAAAATCCAATGGAACCTGAGTAGATCCCACGAGAACTGCTTTCAAGAGAATCGAGAAGCTCCATTGATCTCAATTTTGGTGCACCTGTCATGGAGCCACCAGGAAATGCAGCCCTGACACAGTCAACTGCACTTACATTTGACCTCTTCTTTCCTCGAATTGTACTCACCATAGTATGCACAGTTGCATACGACTCTACTTCCATAAGATGTGGGACATGAACAGAGCCAGGCTCACAGACACGACCAAGATCGTTCCTCAAAAGATCCACAATCATAAGATTTTCAGCTTGATCCTTTTCACTAGAGAGAGAGAGAGAGGTCAGTTCATAGAAAAAAGAAAAATAGAGCAATTCTTGCACTCAAAATGCATTTGTTCTGCTCAATATGATTTACACGGCCAAGGTATTTCAAAGGTAAACTAGTCTGTTCAATATTATTTACATTCATTTTTATAGCATGTGAACATTAACAAGAATGATTTCTCATGTCTAACCGTAAAATCACGTGATAAGCTATCAAAGTTTCAATTTGAAGACCAAATTCAAATTTACCTGTACTGCAGTTTCAATTTAAGCTCTTCATCTTCCTCCAAGGTCACCCCACGAGCTATGGTACCTTTAATCGGCTTTGCTTCTAATATACCATTTCTGTCCAAGCGGAGGAATCTCTCAGGAGAAGAACAGCAGATGCACAAATCTTCATTTGAAAAATTAAGCCACGCAGCATATGGTGCTGGATTTTTCTCTCTGAGGTGAAGGTAAAGTCCCAAGGAATCTATCTCTCCAACTGTTTTTCTCATCTGAGAAGTGAGACATAACTCGTAGCTTTCCCCATCTTTAATGTATTCTAGACACTTACTAACATCTTTAATATACTGCTCTCTAGATTTCTCACCAAGAAAACCTGCCTTGTATGGGGAAACTGTTGCATTAGGGGAAGCCTGCTCTCCTAACTTCCTTGTGGCAGAAGCTTCTAAGCAAAGCAACTTATTTTCCGTGTCATCTAACCATGGAATGCTGGTTGTGCTTTCCTCATGTAAAGACAATATATAAACATTGTCATTAAGATGATCGATGACTACAAAATTATCTGCAAAGAAAAAGCAAGCATCTGGAGTCGTAGATTTGTGACGGTTGGATAACATGCCACATTCAACTTTGAGGCTATACCTGCAATATGAGAGATATATTGTCAAAAAATCACAAAAACAGATTCAGCCAGGATGTTGCATAAAAAGGATGCTCCAAGGGATATGATATTTCCAGTTGAACTTCAGTAAATTAGCCTGTTCATGTTTTAATTTCTTTTACTTCATTCTTTTGCATTTCCAAGTCCTTTCAAAAAGGATGTAAGGATGAAAATATTCATTTCTAAAATATCCAAACAAGACAATTCTTGATGATAAATGGATCCATGTAAAGTATTTGACTACCTACAACACAAGATCCAAGCAAACAGCAAGGAGTAATTGAATGGGTGTGTGTGGAACTGAGACACGGCACATTTAGAGATTAATGCCTGGCATTTATGGAGGTTTGAATGAAGAGGAATTTCATGCAATGCTAAAATAGCTTGATGACTTTATGTTACCCATTCAAACAAGATTAACCTGCACATGGAGAGAGAAAGAATTTACCCGAAGTAACCAATATAACCACCATGAAAATCAAATGGCAGTTCTTCAAAATCTTCTTCATCGTAAGTAAATGATAGTAGCTCCTAGAAACCAGATCAAGCAACAAAAAACATCTATCAGACTGGATCTAGTGATCTGATTGAAAGCATGAATATAAATTTTTATTCATCCTAAACACATACGAGACAAGTGGCATTAGAGTCTATGTTTCCATGCATCAACTTTTAGTCAAGCACTAAACGCCCTGTCATATTTGTCCGAGGCAAATGAACTTCACATGTTTTCTATAATGTGTCATTATTTCCATGCAGGCTCAAACTCCAAATCCCAGAAAGGAAACTAAAATTTAAGCGTACTTTATATTTGTAATGTTGTCATGATTTGATGAACAAAAACAACCAGTAAAGTCTATGCTATTATACCTGGTTCAAAAAATCAAGAAAACCTTTTTCCAAAAACATGCTTTTGGTGGATCCTTCAGTATCTTTGATTGATAAGTAACCTCCACCTTTAAAATCCATATCACTGAAAAATAAGTGCAGTACAAATTATTTTCTGTAAAGGATCACGTGAAAAACTGGATAATAACACAATCTTATCTATCAAAAAAAGAAACCCAATCTTGCACCTGACTCAGCAAAACATCACTCTAAACAACTAGTTAAAAACATAAATAAAGCAAAAAAAAAAGTGACAAGAGAAATAAACCAAACAAACAATTGAAGGAATATGTGAATGACTATAATTCAAGAATCATTCAAGAAGAAGAATAAAATGTCTGAGTTAATAAAACCTTTGATCTGACAATCTAAATGTCATTTGCCTCCAAAGTGGTCCGTCTTTACCCCCCATAAATGAAAAGCGTGCTCTTTTCTAAATGTTCAAAAGCAAGAAAAAATAAAGGATGTCAAAATCCCTAAAAGGGAAGGTTAAAAATAATAAACATGACAACAAAGTACTTTAAAATTTTCAGAGAGTAAGACCTTTTCTACTGAGGAACTGTCCAGCCAAAACGTATTTTCAGCCTTACAAGCTCCGAACAGTTCATTAAATATGTTTCTTGCTCCACCAGCTCGGGCTGCTAATTTATCAAATTTCCTCCATTTCAACTTTAAATGCCTAACGTTGATGCTTGATTCTGGAAACTTCAATGCACTGGAAATGCTGAGACAATTCACGTTGGCATTTCCAAGTAATTGGCTTCTTCTAAAAGCTTCTTTGAATGGTTGAGCATCTTCCTTGTGTACTAATGATCCAATTCTAGGAACTCTAAACAGCTGACTAGCAACATGCACCTGCATGCATGCTAAAAAAGGTTTACTGCTCGGGGGAAATTACTGGCTATGCAGATGCATAACATTAGAGAACTAGAGTTATTCATGAGGTAAACTTTTAGGCAACGCAGATGGCGAGACACAGTTTCAGAATGAAACAGAGAGCATGCAGAAGGAGGTTGGACCAGACATATTCACTAAATGTTGACACCATGCTCCCTATACTCATTGAAAGTTGCTCTTGAAATACTTTGCTGATTGTTCAAACTGCAAACTTAATGCTAAGTTCTCCAACAACATACAAGAGGCCTATTCCGTATTGCACAACGGAACTCCCATTGGAGTATAAATTGCTGCACAGGCATAGCATAATTCTATAATTTTCAAATACACAAGCATATACATAAAGAAAGATAGTACAAAATAGATCCACTGCTGAGAAAAATTAATTGGTAATCTTTACCAGTATAATGAACATTTCTCTCGTTAATAAATGTTGACCTTGGCCTCAGTCTCTGCCAATAATCCTCTGTAATCTCTCTAAAATTCTCAAATATTTGCCTTCCATGACAGGTTGCAATACTTTCTGGATGAAACTGAAGGTCAAGACAATTACAGAATGTAAAGCACCGAAAAGCAAATCAGGGAATAACTGCAGCACAAAGATGATCAACAAACCTGTAAGCCATAGTGCGGCCTTGTAGAATGCATAATGCCCATGAGAACTTTTCCCCCTTGCATTCTTCCAGGGTTGCTAGAAGACCAAGAAGCTCCATTGTGTGATCCTGTTGAAAAAGTATCAAAAGATGTGCTTGGTCTAATCTGATTCTTGCATGCATCAGGTTTAAGACCAGAATTCGGAGACTCAAGGAAAGAATGAGTGCTGCTAGAAGTCCAAGCAGTCGGTATAAGTTCCTTTGGCAGTGCTTCTGAATCTACGATGAGAGAATGATACCGTACCACCTGCAACAATCAAGAGAAAAGTAGTGGTAAATGAAACACTCATACACCATGGTCCCTAATACATACAGTATAAAGACCACAAGTAAATTTACATCCATAAAGCATGAGAATACAGATGGACCTTAAAACCAGATTTTCTGCCAGAAGGGATGTTATCAAATAGTCTGCTTCCATTATGTTCGATTTCACTGTAAGGCACAACACCAGTGATAAAGTTAGTGGAGGGGGGGGTCAAGAGCATGAAAGACCATCTTGCGAGTATTAGCAAGTCATTTATCACAAAATAAGGTCATGCTTTTACCATGATAGACACAACAACATCCAAAAAATAGATACTAATGATATTATGGTGACTAAACTACATACAATAAAATGGAAAAGCATTTTACCCAAGAACACCAGGACGATATAAGAAAACCTTGAAATTATGTTCAAAATATACCTTAAGCGTCCATGGACTGGTTCAGAAGCATGGACAATTCTAGCTCCATTGACATAACCCAAGGCCTGTCATAACAAAAGCCATTCAATTCATTAGTGGAAAAGCAGATCGTTATAAAAGAATATGTCTAGTTGAAGGAAAAGTTACATTTACAAGCAATATTGTCAGAGAATGCTGCACCGAGCAAAGATTAAAAAACAGATAAAAGCTTGATTTAACTTGGGTGTAAACATGTTAATTTATAGAAACATAAAAACAAGTAGTAATTGATCAAGATAAATTCAGCCAACATGGAATATGACATTGAACATGAACCAAAATACCTGGTGTCCAAGGCAAACACCCAGAATAGGAATGTCCCTGCACTCAAGTAGCAGTCGAAGACATATTCCTGTAAGATTTAAATAGATTCTGAAACGTAATGCGATTAACTCCACTCTAAAAAAATGATAAAATAAGTCAGGCAGAAAATAAACTGAACCGTATCATCATCGTAAGGGAAGTGAGCCTGTGACAAACAAATATCCCACTATCATGCCAGCACACAGAACTTTTCTAATGATCAAGCTTAAGCTTACACGACAACTTTATGGCTTAATAAGACCCCAACAATAATGTTTATATCAAATAACTGACATAATAATAATGTTTATATTGACATTCATGAGTTTAATAGCATTGAGACACGTGAAACAGGGTAGACCTCTACGCATGGATTGGTGGATCCTACATCTTGTGTCCGTGAATGAAATGTCGGGTATAATTGAACTAATACAGTCCACAAGCATGGAAATGACAGAAACTCCATCCTCGATCTTACCTATATCCGCTGAGCATGTTGGAGAACCAGGTCCAGGTGAGATAACAATATTATCAAAAGCTCTCTTTTCATACAAGTAATGGCACGCATCCTCCCATGTCCACTCATCATTTCGGATGACCACAGGAGGCACTGAAATGGCATCAACAAAACCAAATGAGACAATTTCAAAGAACAGTCTCTCTCTCTCTCTCTCTCTCTCTCTCTCCACATATATATCACAATACAGTTTAATTGACTTCCAAATAAAATTGAAAAAAAAAAAACAAACAAACAGAGAGAGACAAGAACAGTAACCGAAAACACAGAGAAAACCAAAACAAAAAATGCATACCCCCATTAACGACAGATAGCTCTTGGTAAATATTATAGGTATAACTATCATAGTTGTCAATCAACAATGTCCTCACAAAATCCATTTTCTGGCTAGGCTCCTCCAGCCGTTTCTTTCCCATGAACGACCCTTCTAAATGTCCGGGCATCAAATGACTGGATACCGCCACCTTTCTACCATTACAGCAACAAGATTTCTCATTCTTGGCAACATAACCAACTCTTAGAAAAGACTTGGATGTCGCTATTTTCCCTGTCGTGCCCTCAATAAAAGGATTTTTCAGTTCCAACGAAGTCGACGAACACAGAGCCATTTTAATTTCCACTACTCAAAAAGAAAACCCCCTGCAATCAGAACAGAGCAACGAAGCAATGTTAAGCAAGCAGATCCTGCAAATTTGGAGCTGAATCTACAAAGGGATTTGCTACTTAGTTTCTGTGTACGAGAAACATTGTTCTAAAAAGAGAAAAAGTGAACGAGAGAGAGGGGGAGAGAATACCTTAGAACATGGAAGGGAGGGAAAGAACGGAACGTAGGGTTGGCGGCAGAAGAAGGGGAGAGGTGGGGTTTGTTTTAGGGAAGGGAAGGAAGTGGATGAATGAGCGGTGTAGCAGAGAATGGGCCCCGCGCTTGTTTGGTGTTTATTTATTTTTTATTTCCTTTCTTTGGACCAACTCTATAATATTCTTTTTTTTTTTTTTTTTTTTTTTTTTTTTATTCTTTTGAACCCTCGTGGAGTGCGTTCCTTCCGCACTCCTGTCAGTGTCCGTTGGTGGGAAATGGGATGCCTCTCTCGGCCTTGCGCGTGAATTTGTTTTTTCGGTTTATCAAGTTTTTTAAAAAACAATTTTATTAAAAAAAGTTAAATGAATTCATTTTTAAATGTTTTTTTAATATAATTTCAACGTTGGGATTAGAGGCGATAATCTCAGGATCAAACTGGTTTTTTTCTTGTTTAAGTCTACCGGTTTCTATTCAATTTCATTATTTTAGATTAAAATATAGCTAAAAATGTTAATTTTGATTTGTCTTGCTTTTTTTTACTCAATTTTTTTTAATTTAACTTAATTTTTTTTATTTAGATTTGATTTAGTTTTTTTTTATTTTATATTTATAAAACCAAACTAAATCAGTTAGTTTTTAAAAAATTTAATCAGTTTAATTAAAAAATATTATAATTATTTTTTTCCAGTTTTTTCTATTACATTAATTTTTTAAATTTTTTATTGATATCTAGTTTGGACAGATGTAAAAGAAAACAAATATAAATAAATATTATTTTAATTAAAAATGTTTTTTAAAAATCCTAAAACATGTTCTTACTTAAAAAATCAAAATTATTAAAGAAAAAATTGATATAAACTTGTTCGGGATAAAATTACGTAAGATATTTTTATTGCTGCTTCTCTTTGGATTTGCATCCATTGTTACAGGTAGTCGATCGTCTGCCTCTTTCGCTCTGTCGCGTGTCAAGCACAAAACTATACGCAGCCTTTCCTATTCAACCCCACCAACCCCCACCGCCCAACCACATCTGCTGCTTAAAAATGGCTGGTGCTGTACAGCGAAGCAAACCAAGAAAGCCGGCCAGTGACCGTCGGAGCTTTCGCTTGACAATCCTAACCAAAAGCACTCGCCCAAGATAAATAACATCAACAAAAGCTTCGAGCCTAAAGTGTCATGGGCTTGCCTTGCACTAAAGCCTGAGATGTCCGTAAATCGATCACGTATTGGCCCAAGCTACACTGCACCCGTTTCTTTCTTTCAACAATTATTGGAATTGGCTAAGTTGATATATTTTGGTTAAAGAAATAAAGATACCAAGTAAATTTATCTTTTTAAATAATTTTATAATAAATTTCAAATCATCATCTACATCTCTTTTGTTTCACCTAAGTAAATAAAAGCCACTTCATTATTATTATTTTTATTATTATTAATGTTAATAATAGGCATGGTTTAATAAAAAAAATGTTCATCAAAGTATCTTTCTCTAAGATGATGCATCAAGAGTTTATTTGGGAGTGTAAATATAGTTATTTTTTAAAGTATTTTTCATATTAAAATAATTTTTTTATTTTTTAAAAATTATTTTTGAGATTAACCCATCAAAATAATTTAAAATATATAAAAAAATTAACTTTTAATAAAAAAAATTAAAAGTTAAATTATTGGTATAATTACATTTCCAAACATTCACTGAAACTGGAAAAGGGTGTTTTTGTTTTATATGGGACTCGGGCACTATATAAAAGAATCTAGCCCAGATGAATAGGATTTATTAGAAATAATCCATCTTCCATGCAGTTTAAGTTGTAAATTCCAAGCCTGCCCGATAAAACATTCAAAATAGTGTATAGCCAGCCGACACGGAACCACATTGTTTCGACACAATAGCAAAGATTATTTATTTTAAGAAAATATATTAAAATAACATTATCTATTATCTACTGTCTATGCAAACCTTTTTCCTTTTCTTTTCTTAAAAGAAAAAACATTTTCAAAGAATTTGGACTCTAGATACTGTAAAAGAATCATTTTACTTGAAAACTTTAACTGTTAGGTGAAATCTAAGATATAATTTATATTATTTTTTAATACATTTCTACAAGTGAAAGTCCTTCAAACTTTAAACTTGTATAAATTAACTTTACCTTATACTTAATTTTTATCAAATAAATAAGAATGGTGAGATTCGAACTTGTGACCGCTTGATTATCAAGGCTATGATACTATGTGAAAAAACCAATTCAACTCAAAAGCTTAAGCTATTAGGTGAAATCCTAAGATATAATTTATATTATTTTCTAACAGACACAACCTATATGGTTATTAATAATTTGCCAGATATCAAATTATTAATGATGGCAGGGAAGCTTTTATAAAAAAATTTAAACCCAGTCCATGGTTAATCTAGCACATGATTTAACCAAAAGTTTTATCTGGGTTATCAGGTTTTAATTAGGTTATTAGATTATCCAAATCAATTTTAATTTTTTTATAAATTAAAATGATATCATTTTAGTTAAAAAATAAATAATTAATGAGTTATAATTAAATTTTTTTATCAAGTTTTGCAGGATCAACCAAGTTACCGAGTAAACCTATAAAGTCACCTAGTTTTTTATTTTTTTTATTTTTTTAAACGGTTTCATTTCAATCCCGATCAACCAAGTCTCAAATCAACCCAACAAACTATACTGGATTTTAAAAATATAGCTTTTATACTACAAACTCATTTTTGTTTTCTATTCCAAGTCAACAGTGCCAATTTCTAATATTTATAGAAAATAAAAGGTATCTTATTTGAACATTTTTAGTGACATCAACACAATCAAATGTTCTGGGGATAAAGAAAGTCAAATATAGTTTTAGAAACAAGGAGGCAAAATGTATTATGAATTAAGACACCTGGATATATGACCCGAAAAATCATTGAAATGAAAAATAAATATTGACTCAAGGTTGAGCTTCAAAAGTTCTTCCCTATTTTATTCTTTCTTTTTTTAACAGATAAACACTTCCTCAACTTTTAATAAAATAATTATGTTGTATATATTTTCTATAGCCTCCTTCTTGGACGAGGAAGAATTCCCAGCTTTTGGCCAAGAATATATATTTTTTTAGGTTAAACTACTGGTGCTTTTATATAGTTCTTGTGTATTGAGATTGAATTTACCTCTCTAATTAATTTAATAAAAACAAATATGTAAGTTATTTATCAGAACTTTACTTTTACATGCATGATTTGCAATTTAAAACATAATATACAGTCACCTCCTAAATATCAAGCCGCACCCTGACATGTTGTATAGATATAGATTGCTAGTTAAGACAGATCCTGTTTATTTTTAATTTTTATGTTTCAAAAATATTTTGAAAATATTTAATTTTTAAAAATTTTTTAATGTTCTTAAAAGAAAAAACATTTTCAAAGAATCTGGACTCTAGATGCTCTCAAAGAATCATTTTACTTGAAAACTTAAATTGTTAGGTGAGGTCTAAGATATGATTTATATTATTTTTTAATATATCTTGTGAAAGTCCTTCAAACTTAAAACTTGTATAAATTCATTTTACCTTATACTTAATTTTTATCAAATAAATAAGAATGGTGAGATTCGAACTTGTGACCGCTTGATTATCAAGGCTATGATACTATGTGAAAAAACCAATTCAACTCAAAAGCTTAAGCTATTAGGTGAAATCCTAAGATATAATTTATATTATTTTCTAACAGACACAACCTATATGGTTATTAATAATTTGCCAGATATCAAATTATTAATGATGGCAGGGAAGCTTTTATAAAAAAATTTAAACCCAGTCCATGGTTAATCTAGCACATGATTTAACCAAAAGTTTTATTTGGGTTATCAGGTTTTAATTAGGTTATTAGATTATCCAAATCAATTTTAATTTTTTTATAAATTAAAATGATATCATTTTAGTTAAAAAATAAATAATTAATGAGTTATAATTAATTTTTTTTATCAAGTTTTGCAGGATCAACCAAGTTACCGAGTAAACCTATAAAGTCACCTAGTTTTTAATTTTTTTTTATTTTTTTAAACGGTTTCATTTCAATCCCGATCAACCAAGTCTCAAATCAACCCAACAAACTACACTCGATTTTAAAAATATAGCTTTTATACTACAAACTCATTTTTGTTTTCTATTCCAAGTCAACAGTGCCAATTTCTAATATTTATAGAAAATAAAAGGTATCTTATTTGAACATTTTTAGTGACATCAACACAATCAAATGTTCTGGGGATAAAGAAAGTCAAATATAGTTTTAGAAACAAGGAGGCAAAATGTATTATGAATTAAGACACCTGGATATATGACCCGAAAAATCATTGAAATGAAAAATAAATATTGACTCAAGGTTGAGCTTCAAAAGTTCTTCCCTATTTTATTCTTTCTTTTTTTAACAGATAAACACTTCCTCAACTTTTAATAAAATAATTATGTTGTATATATTTTCTATAGCCTCCTTCTTGGACGAGGAAGAATTCCCAGCTTTTGGCCAAGAATATATATTTTTTTAGGTTAAACTACTGGTGCTTTTATATAGTTCTTGTGTATTGAGATTGAATTTACCTCTCTAATTAATTTAATAAAAACAAATATGTAAGTTATTTATCAGAACTTTACTTTTACATGCATGATTTGCAATTTAAAACATAATATACAGTCACCTCCTAAATATCAAGCCGCACCCTGACATGTTGTATAGATATAGATTGCTAGTTAAGACAGATCCTGTTTATTTTTAATTTTTATGTTTCAAAAATATTTTGAAAATATTTAATTTTTAAAATTTTTTTAATGTATGCTAATATTAAAAATAAATTTTAAAAAATAAAAAATATTATTTTAATATATTTATAAATAAAAAATAATCACAATTTCTAATAACAAAAGGCTCCAGGAAAGTTTTGTCTTCATCGCGCACTCCATCAAATGGAATCAAAATAGCCAGGGATA